ACTGTTTCGGAAATTGCTATGTGCTACAGCGGCTAACGATAAACGGTATCGACTGTCAACCACCAACATTCAACAAATTCCTAGTCGATTCCCCACCTGACTGGTTAGTGAAAAAGACACGATGGATGTGTAGAAACGTGTATTGGTATCGAAAGACCGAATGCCCCAAAAACAAAATCATATTGATTGACTGATCCATCGTCTGTCTGTCTAACTATAGAAGTGGTAACAAATTAGATTTTGACTGGTCCCTCTCCAGACTAGTCATTTCTCTCTATCTCCGTAATCAGCACCTAATGCACGGAGTGAGAAATGATTTCAACACAAGTTTCTGTAGCTCCTTATAATAAGAATTGAACCAGCAGATGCATCTACTGTAGTAGACAACCTCAATGCACAAATTGAGAGAATAAACCATTTTTTAAAAAATGATATGCTGATTTTTGAATTGAATTATGAATTCAATCATTCCACGCTAGCAACCAGAACTCAGGAATAATGCAGACAGAGAACTAGGATTGTGATTATAAAATGTAGACTTCACGCAGTCCCACCAAACAGTTCCAACAGTCGATCTCAGTCACAGTAGTATAGACTAAATTGTATATAAGACACGATAGCCAACAGCATTATAATATCAGTCAAAAAAGCACGGGACGCCAATGATCAATGTCAATATCGTTACAGATGTGAGTAGCTCTAAAGGTCACCCTGACACATTCACTGAAGAAATCAATTAAAATTCTGTATTTTATAGCGAAAAAATCCCTTCTCAGTCAAAATCCAATCGGTTATTTCAATTGTTGTTTACGTGAACCTCCAAGTCACTCTTACACATGTAGGCAGTTTCCATAGAGAGCCTAGACATGAGTCACATGTGTTTCTAAAGCAGAGTGGCAACTCATCACTCCTCCTTCTTACCACCGGAAGGAGTTTGCTTATATTGAAATTCTGATAAATTGAATCTGACTTGTGATTTGTAATGGCTTCCTTTAGAGGTAATACGAACTGTGGTATTTGCAAATTTGGTGACTGTAACAAAATAGAAACCTAATCAATAGTCGGGTCTTGTAACTCAGCTGGTAAATAAAGCATGGGGCCTGAAATTTGGTGGTCTCTGGTTTGAACCCAACCTCGTGGCCTAAATTTTCATTTCACCTTCCATCATCACCGAGTATCAATACAAATATGGTAGGTCACGACTATCTCAGATAGTCAAACTGAGAATCAATATGATGCTCCGCCTCTCTAATTCAAGTGGTTTTCGATTAAGGCTTAAAGTTGTAACTGGATAGCCAGTGTTAGTAACGTGTCACAAACTCACATGGTAGTCGGGCAAAACTCCTTTAGATTGAAGTGAAAATTTGGCCTTCCGATGATGAAGTACCGGGGCTGGAACCCAATGGTCTCTGGTTTGAGTCCCATTACAGTCCAAATTTTCATTCCACCCACCCATTGTAAATAGAAAGTATCATGGGTAGTATTCTCGTTAAGAGGCAGACAGTATCATAAGTGTAAGGAATTGATGTGAACAGAAATTCAAATGAATTCTTGAATTAGTTTCCACGAGTTTATCATTTATATTTCACAGTGGAATCATCTTCTAGTGTATAATCAATTTGGCGATATTGGTAAAATCGTTTTTGCATTGTTACCTGAAAATAGGAGAATATTTAGTATAGATTCTTCATTTTAAGCTTGACTGCATATAATTGTTATCTCCTTTTCCATCAAATGTGTGTTCAGTTATTGCCATCTTAGGTCAAGGATAGTTGCGTTATTTTCAGTAATCATCGGAGCAACTTCTTCATCTTTATTATTAGGCATATGAACTGGAATAGTAGCATGGAAATTTGAATTGGGATGAGTTGGATTCGATTCATGAGCAGATATTACTTCTTGTAAACATTGAACTATTTGGTACAAAATGCAATAGTAATAAATATGAATTTTACTTCATCATCCGGTCAAAAACAAGAATTTACAGGATATGATAAGCTTCTAAGAATAGAATAACAACAGTATTTATCCATTAGGAATCAGGAATGATATACTTTTCACATCTTCATTAATCAGGCTATTGGTATGCCACAAAGCAGTAGATTGTACTTAAAAGTCTTCCATTCCCCTAGTTTTTCTAGTGATTTTACCATTTTGTTCTACTGCTCCTGACACCAGGTGAGCTGATTTATATATATATATATATATATATATATATATATATATATATATATATATGTATATGTATATCATGCAGTTCTGAAGCTAGGTCCCCGAAACGTAGACTCAGTTGTACTTTGGTGACAACCAATAGCGTTATAGTATTATTCAAGATACCAAAGGATAACAATAACCAATGAGAACATTGCTAGACTTTGTGTGAATTAAAGACCATCCTGGCAACTGTTGGAACACCCAATCAGGATTTGGTATTTCGGCTAGGAAGCTAGACTTTATAGGCCACTTCAGCAACTGATAAGAAAGCCAATTTATTATTATTATTTGTCCTTTGGGTTCTTAGTGCAACATATGGCTTCAGTAGCACGTCACCAATTCACTCTCTTCTCACCAATCTTTTCAATCTCTAGTTCCACCCAACGCCCAGAAGCTTTCATTTCTAACTCATACGATCGCCTTGAGACGACGTCAAACTACCTTTTACTCTCACATTTTTATTTAGACAATTTTGATTTGACTTTCTGCGAAGAGATTCTTCTATGAGACGTCGTTTATAATTTCTACAGCCTTTATGAATAATTTCCATATAAGGTTGATATTCATCATTAATATAAATGTAAAACTTGAGCACTGTGGTGGGATATAATTCCAACTTAGATTTGTTTATTTGATATGTAGCGCACAATGATTCAGTATTATTTACTTGATGACGAAGTTTTGAGCAATAATTATCATTGCTCATAATAATCGATGTAATTGCACTACTTTCGACATCTGATTTTTATAGTCATGTCAACCACCTCATATTCTTTGTTTTTATTGGCAGTAAAATTTTCCACATCTCTGGTATGTATGGGTGTTGTGTCATTCCCATTACATATGTTGGGTAGGGTGTTGATTCGATGCACAAAGATTCAGTAATCAACCTTTCTCCACCTAATTATACTGGAGTTAAGTACAGTGGGTCTATACCACTCACGTTATTGTGTGGTTGTGTGTTAATGTATGCATTGCAATAACCGAGTTGTTTTTTCTAGATTATCGATCTTATTCGAGTCTGTCATTCTACATACAGCTAAATTCCCATGTTCAGCTATTCTAACTGATGCCGATCGGCTAGTTTCACCTATGTACTTGACCTCACAGTCATTACATGGAATTTGAAAGATTAGATTATTTTGCTTAATTGGTTCTATCGGATCCATAAGCCAGCCGACAAAGCTTATCTCTCTGAATGAGTTTGTGGGTTCAAATACCACCCTAATTCCAACCATGTTGAGGATCCTACGTGAAGTTTCTGATGTACCTTCCTTATAGAGTAACAATGAGTTTGTGTACTCTTTTCTACTTGTGTTATCGTCATTATTCCTACTCGTGTTACTGTTATCTTTTCGTTTCTTGTGTATTCGTACGGATTTCTTGATAAACTGCAGAGGATACTTATTAACTATTAGTGCTTCTTTTACGTGTTTCAATTCATTGTTTAGGTTCTTGCACTGACTAGTTAGTTGTTTAGCTCTACCATTAAGACATTTGACTACACCTTGTCTTAAGTGACATTGGATAAGATAACTTGAAGTCTAGATACCTGTTGGAATGTGGCGGTTTTCTGTAGACTGTAATATCCAAACCACGGTCTTTCTTTCGTTTTATCCTGCAATCTAGCATAGGCAATTCTCCTTGTTTATTTTCTACTTTGTAAGTAAATTGGATTGCACCTACGACTGAGTTTATGTGTGTGAGGAAATTGTCGATATGTTCCGATTTCAACACAGTGAATATGTCATCCATATGTCGTCATCATATCTTAGGTGCAGTATTAAACGTTTTTAACTCCATGTTTTCCCAACTATCTATAAATATAATTGCTACAGTTGGAGATATTGGCGATCCCATTGCTACTCCTTCTGTTTGTCTTTATATTTTATCCTGAAACTTGAAGGCTGCAGAGGTTAGGCGCAAGTGTACGCCTAATATGATGGTATGGTATTCTTCATGGGCTGACATTAGTTGAAGGGGCATTGTAAACCTGGGAGCAGTGAATACCAAGCTGAAATCAAATCCTCACAAACCTCCGAATTGAATTAATCTAGTGCTCATTGGTGACTAGCTGCAAGAGGTGATTCCAGAAGTTCGAATGAGAAGTCGTGACCAGTGGAGCCAACCAAGTCGAACATGAAGACAGTTACTCAACGACGGCATCTGGTAGAGATAGCGCTGTATCGTGAACTGAAAGAAGCAGGAATTATGGACCATTGGATTCTAACCTAGTGATTTAGTGGTAAGGTCCTGGTCACGAAACCTGAAGGTCCCGGGTTCGATCCCTTGTGGGGTCATGGGCGTGCACTGCTGAGGAGTCCCAAGCTGGGACGAAACCGTTGTCCAGTACTCTCAGGTTTCCTTTGTTCCTCCAACTGATGTCAGTTCATAATGGATACCAACCTGAAATTAATATTGTACCTTGAATATTGTCAAGATCGACTTTGTAACCTGAGAAATCATGTTAGACGTAGTCTTATCAATCAACCTTGCAATAGCGATTACCATATCCCTAAAGTCATTAAACATTTCAACAACCCTGTTATCCTTTATTATATATATATATATATATATATATATATATATATATATATATATATATATATATATATATATATATAGTTTGATAGTATCATATATATCTGAAAGTTGTATAACGGGTAAACTTCTGAGAATTTCTGTACTGTACTGGTTCGGAATAGAACAAATATTATGATGATTATTATTACTCATTACTTTTTTGTTGACCTTTCTGCTTATACTCTTTTTATATTTCTGTCTAGACTGCAGATAACAGTCGGTCAATTGTGTTTACAAGCACATGGAGAGAATCATTCCGTTTAGTGGCAATTCTTAAAAGTTTAGCAAATGTAATCGGTGCTAATTCAGCACCACTTAATGGTGCTATGCAACAGGATAAACGTCAGTCTTCATTATTCGATTTTCGTACTGGTCGTGTTTCAATACTTATAGCTACTGATTTAGCTTCAAGGTGAATAGTTAGGGGTAATTGATAGTTTAGTGTAATGTGGTCATCACTTTTCTTTGTTCACTATCTTTATGCTCACTCACTTGAAACTGATTTATTGTTTACTCAGTTAATTTTGTGAATCAATAACATAACAATAGGTAAAAGTAACAATAAGTAGTTGGTTCTGCAGTTTGATAAAGCACCATAGTACCCAATTATGCTTATTAGTTCTTATTGTTTGTTGAAACATCTTCACTCACTGACGTGTAGGTGTATTCAGTTGATGAATCCCAAAAGGGACGAAACTTACGTCCTAGATTCCACTACTAACCACCAACTAAGTGAGCTAACCAGTTCTGTTAAGTGAAACTCTGGAGAGCATCTTTTGCGTTGTTAACTTTAGTCAGACATTAAAATGTGTTTTCTTTTATCGATTATTTTCACTTTTATGCAAAAATATATTTATTGTTATTATTATTATTACCATCGTAAGACATCAAGAAATTTTGCAGTGAATACCAACAAATGCTTGTCTATTGAAATACAATCAAGCCTATTATTGCGATACTTAGCTTAGAGTTAGAAACCTCATTTCTCGTAGAAATCCCTCTTTCCTCGTCTGACTGATATTAAAATTCTACACATTTTCAACTGTAAGCCTCTATGTTAGCAATGTAGATGTCTGAAGAAAACGATTCGATAAGAAAGGAAAGTCAATCGAGGAGGGTATGGATATTCAGGGACTACTGAGGTTGTTTGGAGATGTGTTCTGCATGATGAGCCATCGTCTATCAGGACAACGCTGGGAGAAGTTGGACTAGGTTGGAAGGGGACTAGAATGAAATGTAGCAGCAGTTCGTGGAGTCTCTGACCGTTGATCTGAGCCATGTAGGAAAGTGAAGACTAACCTGGTTGGGGTCCCCCCAGGCGAGAACTGGTGAATGGACTAAAAATAGGTTCACAATGGTGCCGATATATTCACTGTTTAATGTTTTCTGAAGCTTGAATATTTGCACTAACCTTCATTTTCAAATTCCCTATCCTTCCATTCAGTTTCGTCTACTTTGATACTAGTCCTTTCCTATCCACTTGTTCTTTGTATTCCACTGTGAATTGTGACAATTTAAACCGATGCTACGTTAATTTTGTCTTCCGTTTGGCTTTATCACTTGTAGTAAGCAAATGACATAGTCCTAATGGGGGAAGATTCTAACGGATATCTTGAGTACTGATTTGAGAATGTTTCTGAGATGCATATCTTACCACCCAAATGCAACTCGATAATCTAAGACTGATCTGTATTTGTAGTGCCTTGTCTGGTAATAGGAATTGAAGTGATTGAGCGCTATGACCAATTTGATTAGTTATGAAATTAGATAAACCCTAGTGGGGTGAATCGTCGACGAAATCTCCACTTGGATACAAAAGGTTGTATTGGCTTTCATCAAGTTATACCATTTATTGCGCTGATATTGTTTCTAATTGCCTATCAAAGGTTTAGCGTGTTGCGCTGCAGTTCTGCTATGAATCATGTGTATTAGATGTAGACGACATCCAATGAGTTACTTGCAAGTAAGGCGGACAGTTTATGTGGAAGTCAGTCGGTGAAAATATGCATTGCATATGGTGGATCTGTAGGCCTTTGGTTTAAACATTTAACTTTCAGCCAGTGATGACATCTGATCCTTAAAATCTAAATTTCTCCTCACAACTTCTAGATTCTTTAGTGTTCTTAATCATGCACTAATCTTATTTCCTTTGTTTTTTATCTTTCAAGAGGATTGGATTTCCCAGATGTTGACCTTGTTGTCAACTATGATGTTCCACGTCGACCATCATGGTCTGACTCAGCGAAAGCCTATATACATCGTGTTGGCAGAACTGCTCGTGCTGGACGACATGGACGTGCTATAACTCTTGTCACTCCGTATTCAGTTACACGCCTTAAAGCTATAGAATCAGCATTAGGTGAGAAAATTCCTCAACTACCTTGGCCTGGAACAGATTGTTTGAATTCACAACTACGGCAACAAGTTTTACAAGCTGATAAAGAAGCTCGGGCGGTAAGTGTTATTTTTCTTTTACAAGACGGGGGGAAGGTTATGATGGTTCATTTTTTTATTCTTACTACAATTCGAACAAACATTGGAACATTGCACACATGTATATGATTTGACTTGTATTGGTTATATTTTCTTCAGTGATCCGTAGGATTTAATTGTGAAAGTTTCATTGTCATTCTAGACAACATCTTCAACATAAATTAATAAAGGGGAATGACCTGTAAAAACTTTCCTGCAAAACATACATAATTACCTTCAAATATCGTTTCGTTTCAAAGACCTCTTTGTTAATGACTTACACATAGGCAGTGGAACAGATTGTACTTACTTTCCATTTTAGTCTTTATTAGAAATGCCACACAGTGAAGGAACAATATCATTTACTAGATAACAACGTTTCGGATACAATTTATTGTCCATAGTCATATCAGGTAACTATACAACTTTGAGACAGGGTTTATATGGTCCTAATTCTTTCTTTTCTTCGTTGTGATGACAAGGGTTGTATAATCATTTCTGTTGCATGTATTTGGTGTAGATTCGACAAAAACAAGGATTTGGTCATCAATCTCTCCCTCCACCCAACTAAGTTTTTAATACTATCGCTCTATCCCACCCTACTGTGTGGTTAAATGTAATTGAGTGTAGATCTATAGCTGGGCTTTTCTCTAAATTTCTTATCTTATTAGGATTTACTAATCTTGATTCAGGTAAGTTTTTATGCTCTGCTACTCTAGTCGACCCTGGTCGACTACTTTGACCTCATAATCATTGCAAGCGATTTGGTAAACTAGATTATTTTGCTCAATTGCATCGATAGGATTTTTTAACCTACAAAGCTTGTTTCTAAGCGAGTTTGTTGGTTTAAATGACACTTTAATCTCAACCAGTCTTATTGAGAATTCTTCACAGTGTTTCTGAGGTGTATTCTTTGTATGCTAACACAGCAAGCAGAGGCCTTAAATTCTCTCTCAACCCTTTCACCATTACTAACTACTATTAGTAGTAGAATTGTTATTAATAACATCTGTATTACTACTTCTGCTAATATTTTCCTTTCGATTTCTTATGAATTTATTGGTAAATTTAGGTGGGTAATTATTGAGACGTAGGGTATTCTTGGTATGTTAAATTTCTTGTAAATTTTCTGCCCCACTAACAAGCTTTTTCGCCTTATCGACCAGAATAATAGAGCACTAACTAAATCAAGATTAGTAGATCCTAATTAGATAAGAAATTTAGCGAAAAGCTCAGCCATAACTCTGCATGCAATTAAACACAATCACACAGTAGGGTGGGATAGAGCGACAGTGTTGAAAACTAACTTAGTTGGGGAGAGATTGATAACCGAATCATTGTTTATCGAATCAACGCCAAATACATACAATCGAAATGATTCTGCACCCATCCCAGATATATGGAAAATTCTACTACCCTTGTTATCACAGAGGAGAGAAAATTAGGACTAAATAAACTCTGTCTCGCGGTTGTGAAGTTACCTGATATGAATATGGACAATAAATTGTGTCCGAAACGTTGTTATCCAGTAAGTGATACTAATCCTTCATTGTGTGACATTTCTGATAAACATACTAAAATGGAATTACACTCTATCACAGTGCGCAAGTTTTATTCCTACATGAATTGTACCTTAATGATAGAACTGATATGTTCTTAAAATTTTATGTTAGTGTTTTTCAGTATTTTTATTTGTAGTATAGATGGATTTTAAGTAGGAAGCATTATGTAATGTGTCTTACCTATTGTGTGAAGGTCGATGATGCTACTTGTCTACCTAAACAGTCAATAAACCCGTGACAACACTAGTTGAAAATCGAATATCTAGATAATTGGACATCAACTTATCTATTAGTTCGTTTGGAGGTTATTTGTATTTGTATATAAGAATAGATTTAGCTTGAATTCAGCATCCGTTCAACAGAATATCAATATATTATTTACTAGACAACTCATTTATTGGTCCTTTATAACACATTAGTCCATCACGTAGATGTATTATTATTAGTGTCATGGTTTAAATCAGAAAATCCGATAGGATTTAGTGGTAGCTAGAAATAGAAGTGGCGGAATTTCGGCCTTCCCTTTCGACGTCCGACACTAGCTGTCTTTCTCCACCTGTAGGTGGCATTCGACTTCATCGATCGAGAGGTCTTATGATAGTGTTTCTCATGTCACTTTGTTAAAGACTCTACTCAATCATCCATGGGTGTGTCAGAGCTTTTAGTAAGCTGTGTACATCGAGCAGTGTCCGTCATGAATACCTACTCTCTACATTGCTGTTCAATCTTATCGGAAGTATTCTTATGAACGTCTTCCTCTCGTCATTTGATATCACAGGGATTAAGCTAGTCGCTTGAGAATCCGCGGTAGATGTAGAATGCACAGATGATATAGTTGTGTTAGGTGAAGATGCAGAGCCTTCTGAGTAGCAATTTGAGAATGTTTAGGATGCTTTTCTCGGCACCTAAATTCAAGTTGTTGCTCTAAGATTGGTCTTCAGCATTTTCCTCATTAAAAATAGAGAGTGAAGTGATTAAATACGTTGAACACTTCACTTACTTGCGAAGTCAGATCAGCTCTAGTGGGTTCAGTTGACGAAATCTCTGGACAGTTACGAAAGGCTAGATTGGCTTCCGCCAACTTACACCATTCATGGTGCAGCCGCAATATCCGATTACTTATCAAGCGTCGACTGTACTGTGTTGCAATTTACTCTCTTCTATTGTAAGGCTGTGGTACATGGCTGTTTAAAGGTAGAGGACATAAGAAGGCTTCCGGTGTTTGGCCATAGGCTTTGTGTCGCAGTGTCCCTATGTCAGTAACGCAGAAGTCAGGTGTAGAGTTGTAAGGAGGAAAGGAATGTCAATTTCTGCGGTTGTGGACCTTCTTCGGCCGAAATGGCTGGGACATTTGTTACGTTTGCCTAGTCGTCATCTGCCTCGTTGCACAACGTCAGCTGAAGTAGGTTGAGGCTGGAAAAAGGTTCCGGACGCCAAGACTAAAACACTGCATCAATCCATGAAGTCCTTAACTGTTGGTTTGAGCCATGTTGAGAAATACAGACTAGCAGGTTAGGGTCCACTTGACAACTGAAATTGGTGGGTGAGAAGCAATGTCAGTGGCCCAAATGTATCTTGCTTCCAACCGATTTTCCTTTCCTTCTTCATATTCCATTTTATTGCCTTGTTACTTGGTGTGCTGATGTGAGGTGTGGCAACTTGAACCGTTGCGCAGTAAATGCCTTGGTTATATGTTGATATTGATTGGATCGATTAATTGACTGACGTCTAAGTGGTTTTCTCATAATAAGTATCGTTGATTACTGCTTAGTCTATGAACATGCGAGTGGTTACTGTGTAAGAGTATATATCACTCAGGTCTCTCTCTTTATTCTCCTTGGATTCTAGAAATTACGTGAAAGGGAAAAGAAGAAACAGATGAAGAAGAAAAAACGAAGCACTGCGTCACTTAATGAAGGAATGCCAGATGCTAAACGATCACGTAAATCTAAGGAGATGGATTCAGACGAACTGAACAGCGATTCAGAATAACTGTACTTCTCTATCGTCTTGTACATACTACTGAAAAGCCTGTCCTTTCTTCAAAGATATTATTTTCACAAATGTTCGTCTTGTTTCAAATATTGGTTTGGTGTTCTGTGAGGTATGATATTTTGTCAGGGGTGTCTCACCACGAGACTTGGTGACATCATCAGCGAATCGAAAACCACTTTCACATTTAGTCCAGTAAGCGATGAACCACATTTATTGTGTGGGAGGCTTAATGATATTGTTACTTGGTTGCCTCAATGCCGATAAGTGGAACGGGATTCGAAGTTGCAATGCGTTTGAGTCGTAATGGGAATCCCATCATTGATTTGGACGCAGGTACATCCAGTTGACAAGTCTCAAAGGCGCGTTTTGGATCTCACTGGTAACCACCATCAAGCAGATCACAACACAATGGATCTTCAGATGATATCGATGTAGGTATATCAGCTCAGGAGTCGATCAATTTGATCCATCAAACCAACAGAATATTATAAGTATGAATACATAAAAAATGACCGAACTTTATTTTGAAGCACCATAGCATAAATAATATGGAGAAATGATTTGTTAAACGAATGTGTTAGTGAACTAGGCTGTTTTGATATCAGTAAACCCTAGAAGGCAAGTGTTTCTAATATTTATTTGTTATTCTGTTCGAAATAAGAACTTGAAATAGTATAAGTGTGCATTTTTCAGTTACGCATAAAACTGTATTACTTGATTATGTCTTCGCTTGCCGAATATCGTGTTATCTCGGTACTATTATTAATATCGGACACTATTTTGTGGTGTGGACTCAAAACGGGCTTGTAGCAGCTTTGACGAGTGACCACCCTAACAACAGATAAATTAGCCAATCAGATTTCTCCATTTTATGAGAATCTACCCTTCCAGCCGAAATACAGAAACCTAATTCGTTATTTCGCATGTCTCTAGGGTGGCCTTTAAAGTCACTGGACTTTAAAGGCCACCCTAGCGACTGCAGAAATAACGAATCAGGTCTCGGTATTCCGGCTAGAAAGGTAGTTTTTCATAAAATATAGCAGCCTAATTGGTTATCTCAGCAGTCGCTAGGGTGGCCTTTAAAGTCATCCGGATTTGTTTCAGGTTGATATTCATCATGGACTGACATCAATTGGATAGAAATTAAAAATCTGGGATCACTGGACAGCTGTTTCATCCCAGCATGGTACTCGTCAGCAACGCGCACCTATGACCCCACCTGAGGTCAGGTCCCCTGGCCAGCACATTACCATTGATGCGTTGGTTCGGAATCCGGTGGTGCATGTTTCCTATTACTTTCAGTTCACAATATAGAGCGACCTCCATCCAATGCCGTTGCTGAGTAGCTGTCCTCAAGCTGAACTTGGTTTAACCAAAACAATCAATAAAGATATCTAATTTAGTGTTTCATTGACAGACTTCAAAGGCCACCCCAGCAACTGCTGAGATAACCAATCACGTTTCTTCATTTTGAAAATAACTACCTTCACAGCAGAAATATTAAGACGATTGATTATTACATCAGTTACTAGGGTGGTCTTTAAAGTCGGGTGAATTTAAAGTCCACCTTAGTATCTGCTGTATTAACCAGTCAGGTTTCGGCAGAATCACCCAATAAATCCCCACAAACTTCTAAATTGACTTCAACTATCTGAATTTGTAAATATTGCCGACTTGCAGACTGTGAAAGAATAAGCACACACAATATATAAAGTACAATGTCATCAGAAATGGAAAAATCAAGAAAGTTGTTTGTTGAAACTTAAATATGTTCGATTACCTATGGTTGTAGTTAAAAGCAAACTACCAGATCTACAACAAGGAAGCAAGCAATATGTTACAAAGTTCGCAAACCACAACTTCCTCTTCGTCCACTTTTTTAGATATATCCAGTTCCCCTTATCATGAAATTGTGAAGTGGCTAATCAAAGTTCTACAACCCCTACACAAGGTAGTTGCAAAGCTTTAAGCGTCCGAAGGCAAGCTAGTTAACTCATTTTAATCTATTTATTTTAGCCCTAGTTGCATTTTGTGCCAAAAAAGGTGCACTTCAGTTGTATGCGTTTTCATCTCCTATCAAGAAAAAGTGAATATGAATGGAAAACATGGTTTCTTCTTTGTTCACCAATGTACTGCTTCTGCAAACCGAATTCATTTATCAGCAAATGTTAGGAACGCAGATTAATGTTGGACTTCTAGAAGATAGTCGCAAACAACTATTTCTGCAATGCACCATGAATCTGCATTTTCTCTTCAATGATACATATTACAGGCGAGCTGAAGGAATTGCCCTGGGTTTACCATTAGGCCTAATATTAGATTTTTTTCTTGCTAAAGTTGAGATTGAATCGCTGAAAGATGTCAGCGAAAATCTGAATGTGTATAATTGTTATATACACGAATTGTTTATTAGTAAGTAATGGATGTAGCTGTCTAGTTCCTGAAGAGGTGTGGTTTAGAGAGACGTCTATCAACCAGTGGGTCACAGGCCCGAAACCTGCCCCACCTACGGAGGTTCAGGCAGCATGATTATCCCTTATACAATAGGTGTGGCTCATTGTCTACTGTACCATGTTGCTGAGTGCGTCATTGCCACCGCCTAGTTCTCACTACTCAGTAATGCCGTTCTGAACCACCAGTCTTCTCGTGGTCTCAGGTAGACCTTGCTGATTAGTCAGGACAAGCATATCACCTAGATCTCTCTGAGGCTTACTGCCTCCTGGCACCAAAATTACAAAGAATACTTTGAAAAGACAAGAAATTTAAAATAAGTTGTGTACGTCACCAACATATTCAGCCAAAAGAATGAAAAGTCTGTACTTCTAGCAACAAGCAAAGTCAACATTTGGAACTATCCAAGTTGTTACACCTCATGATTGAAACACCAAATGAGAAAGTATTAAGATTAAAGAAAGCAGTCAAAAATGGTAGACATTCGTGATAAGTTGATACAAAAGAGTAAAAAAGTGCTGAGTTTAGTATGACGATTACAATGAGAATAAAGTGTGGATACAACTGCGCCACTAAGACTGTTTCCGTTCAATGTCAATAAGTCTTCAACTATTGTAAGCTAAAAACTTGGGCATTGTGGTGAAGCATAGTATCGTACCAGACTGTTTACTTGATACAGTCACACAGTGAATCAGTATTACTTACTGAATGATATAATCCATATGGGAAGGCGATGTATATGTATGTTATATTATTATGTAATCGACTTCATCTCAAGAAACTCATCCACCTAAATTCCTTTTCACACTGACTTAATTCTTGAGACATATATCGTTGGTAATATCTAGTGAGCAATGTGTACGCAATTCAACCCCATCGGAATAGCCTTAACGATGAATTTATTGACTCCAATATTCAGTAACATGTAACAGTCTTTAAAATACTATACACCTGCAGAAGGATTTACATACGCTTTGTAAATGAGTGCCAACAATTAAAATCTTAGGTCGTCCAGTTTCTTCGGTCAACTGACCCATAGTATTGGAGATATTCAGACAATGTTTCGTCACTGTCCGCTATTATTATTTGTTCTTTGGGTTCCTAATGGAACATAGGGCTTCACTAACACGTCTCCATTCCACCCTCTTCTCTGCAAACTTTTGAAACTGGCTCCACGACAGCACACAACCTCTCATTTCTTCCTCACACCATCTCCTACATGTCACTCACCCTCGGCACCGACGCCCAACTCGTCGCTTCCCATCTGGGTGCCACTCGAGGGCCTGGCCTGACGCGTGATGTCCCCAATCGACCTTCTCAGTGTATGCCCAATACATCTACACTCTCGTCTTCTGCATATTTGTCCAGCAAGTGATAGGTTCTTGGTTGGTTAGTCATCAGCCAGAGTTCCTTGTTGCTTATTCTTTCTGACCATCTGATCTTCAGTAACGAGCTAGCGTAGGCAGTTGTTGATGTGATGTATGTCTGTAGTTTGTTGGAAATCCCTTTAGTAATGCGCCAAGTCTCTGGGCCATACAGAAGCACTGACTTGACGTTGGCGTTGAAAGTCCGGACGTTGTTCCACATACTGAGTGTAGTGCAGAAGATCTCCACACTGGTTTCTGGTTAATCAACGCCTGTCTTGCTTTTTCGATCCTGACTTTGACATCCTCGTCTGTGCCACCGCATGTAGTTGAAACGATGCTGCCCAGGTAGGTAGGTGAAAGAGGCTACTTCCTTTAAGTTTCTTCCGTTGAATGTGATTGGAGCTTTCTGTTGTTGTTGGTGCTGGTTGGGTATCTTCATCACCTCTGTCTTCACTACGTTCACTTGAAGTCCCATCTTCACTATCTTGCCTCTTCTGTCAACTTGTTAGTTTTCGTCTGTAGATCTTCAAGTTTGTGCGACATAAGTCATCACTGGCGAAATCCAAGTCTCTTAGGTTCTTTTCCGCGATCCAGCGTATCACCCTCTTCTCACCCCTCACGGTTTGTTGCATGACCCAGTCGACCACAATCAGGAATATCATGAGTGATAGTTGAAAGCCTTGTCTTACTCCTGTCTTCACTTCAACGGTGTCACTGAGTTTCCCATTGCGAATTACTTGGCATGTGGCGTCTTTATAAAGTTGTTGTGTTTTCTAGTCAACACATTTTATTGATAGAAATAATGTATTTTTAGGTTAGTGAAAATCCTTTTTTTTAAGGTAGTTTTTTATCATTGGCTGATATGAGTTGGAAAACCTATCAGCAGTAGATAGCTGACTTGTCCTAGTGCGGATGCGTACTGCCGAGACGTCCTACACTAAATCGAAAAAGCTAGTCAATGGCCTCAAATTTTCAAAGGTTCTCCAATTGATGTCAGTCAGTGACGAACCCTACCTTAATGAAATAGGGATAAAGAGAAATGACTAGTCTGCAGTGGGACCAGTCAAAATCTAATTTGTTAGACAGATAGACGATGGATCAGTCAATCAATAGGATTATTTTGAACAGCTATCTATATATTAGCCGTATTTTCCTTTGTTTTTGAGGCATTCAGTCTTTCGACGCCAATACACGTCCATCGTGTCTTCTTCATTAATCAGTCGGGTGGAGAATCAACTAGGAATTTGTTGAGTGTTGGTAGTTGACAGTCGATATCCGTGCACCGTTAGCCGCCATAGTACATAGCAGTTTTCGAAACATAACAATTATAAAGTGGAAATAACTTATACAATCTTAGCCCTTTTTCAGAATAGATTCTTATCGAAATCTTACTTTGGTACTTTGTTTCGTTTGTTAAATGTAATCTATCGAATGCCTTCTTGTAACACAGAACTACATACACTTTACCCGATGCGCAGTTTATAAAGAAGAAGAGGATCATTAGGCAACATGAAATAATCAATTGAATCTGTACATGAAAAATTAAATGAATTATGTTGTTTAGTTGTATAAAGCATGGATGATGATGATGATGATAATACATACATACATACACACACATACATGAGAACAATTACAGAGAGAGAAACAATCGCCACTAAAACTGTACACAAAGCAAGTAGTGTTGCACATACAAACTTACAAAACACACACACACAGAGTTGGAGCTTAATGTAGACAAGGGTTATCGGCTGCGATAAAAAATAATAGAAGGATGGGATATATATATATACCAAGGAGGAAACTCTGTCTTTTCTTCCCTACTATAAACAAAAACAAGTAACAGAAATAATATTATCAAGAGAGATTAAGATAATAAATAAAGAAAATGTAGCTGAGAAGAGACAAAGGTAGTTGAATGGTAAGAAGGCGGCTAGTATAGTGTATACAATAAATATATCTGTGAATAGTAACAACGACAACAATAAACATCATCATCATCATAGGAAACAACTGCTGAGAGGAAAAAAAACATGACAATTATACAAAATATCAGAAGAGAAATAGTGGGGGAAAGCAAACAAACAAGTTAACAAATGAACATCCTCAAAAAATAAATAAATAATTTATTGGATGCTGCTATTTTAGACATGTGACTTCTTAGATAAATTACTATATACACTCACCATCGAATGTTTATCAACCAATTTAGAAGAGAAATTTCACATCAACGCCACGAAGATAAATTAGCATGACTTTGTATAATGTAATTTATAGATAAAAAGAAGAGAATAGGTGTATTCGACAGTAGGAGAATCAACGCACAACAAAAGCTTTTTTGTACACATATGTGTATTTGTGCATGGAATTGCATGCGCGTAAAGTAAACAATAAAAATGATTTATGAAGGGAATAATTGTGCTGAATTACAGCAAATGCAGAAAGGCGTAATAATACATAGGAATACCATCCAACGCGGTGGTTATGATGATAATGATGGTGGTGTTATTGACCCAATAAATACAAATAAGACATCATCCATCGCGGATGATGAAAGAGGGAGACACAGGAGGAATTTAATTAGTAGATTAGCAGCCCCATATATATATATATATATATTTCATGAACAATTATGAGTTCATCTGTTGTTGTTCATCTGATCTTAATCGCTTGACAGGTGTTGGAAAGCCTCTGAAGAGTAAGAAAATGTAGAAAGGTGAAGTAAACAATAATGACTAACAAATAGTAATATAAATAGCATACAACTATATCAGTACAATGTTATCGACTACATTTACATATGTGATACAGCTTACTCAGTCAACTAGCTACTCCTAAACAGAGTTAAGTAAAATTCACCCGATATCGGCAACTACACCAGTCAATAAACTTATGAACCAAACGCTCTATCACAATAAACAGTAAAAACATCGTTCATTGATAAGATGTATCCATGAAAAAAATGTTAAGATTAAATCAAATATATTCATCATAAATTTATAAAATAATTCCGCTGATATTTCAAGGGGAACTACGAATCACCTTTGAATTACCTATTTCTAATACACCCTCATATCCATATAGTATTTTCATTTTCTCTGCATTCGTTAACTTTATCTACAACTAAATTTCATGTGTGAATATCTTAATTTTTATTTGTTCAAATTAAACTTTAAAATGCAAGCAATGTCCAAGTCTCAATACTGTGTTTATCACACAAAGCACACACTTGTCACTACCGATGAAGTTTTCTGAAATTGATTTTAGGTTGGAATTCATCATAGACTGACATTGGTTACAGAAGTACTGTAAACCTGGGAGCACTGAACAGCTGTTTCGTCCTAGTTTGGGACTCTTCAGCAGTGCACACCCATGACCCCTTCAGGGGTCTAACCCAGGAACCATCAGGTTCCGTGGCCAGCACATTACTAGTGAGCGACTGGATCGGAACCCAGTGATGCTCATTCCTCACTTCTCTCAGTTCACGAAATAGCACGATCTCCATCAAATGTTGTCGTTGACTAGCTGTCCTCGTTGTCGACTTGGTTGACTGCAATGGTCACGACATTGTATGCAGGTCACACTAGATCGTGAACTGACATAAGTAGGAACACTGACTTCCAACTGTGGCTGGCCACGGAACCTGAAGGTCATTGGTTCGATCCCTGGTGCAGTCATGGTTACACAGTGCTGAGAAGTCCTATACTAGGATGAAATAGCTATCCAGTGCTCCTAGGTTTTCAATGTTCCTTCAACTGATGTCATTCCATAATGAATTCCAGCCTAATTTCAATTAATAAACTTCTATAAACCTCCAGATAGACTTCCCCGAAACTGTTAAACTATTATGCCCCGTGGACTGATCTGTACGTTAATCGTCAATGTTCATTCAGTTTGATTAGGGTGATATGGACGCTTAACCTATTTAAGTGACCAACCAGTCAGGATTAGATATTTCACACATGTATGATTATGCTGAGCTTCATAACAAAGTTTAAAACGCATATCTTAGAACACCAAGATTGTAGACCCCTCAGCGATATGACTCAAATAGCGATCAAACCAGTACCATGTAACACATAACTTTTAAACACTTCATAACTACAACACTGTATGCTCTCTCTCATCCCGTCACCTATCTCCTAAAAATACTTCCTGATCATTGACATCAGTATATTCCAGACTCATTGAATTCATTTTGAAATGAAATTATTTGATGAACTATAGCACTATGTGTGAAACTTTGGATACATGTAACCCAGTCTTACAGGAAGTCAATTCCAGCCTGAATGACTCAGTGATAAAGTCACTGACTACAACACTGAATGATACGGGTTCAAATCTCAGGCAAGGTTGTAGATACGCTTTGCTGAGGACTGCTAACAGGTACGAAACCTAGGTCCAGAGTTTCCTGCAGATTGCCTTCAAGCAACTACTAAGATGCTTTAAATTGTTAGTTCTGTTTATCCTATTCATTACGATAAATAACTGGTCGTGGGGCCTAGGAACTGATGCTGTAGTTCAAATTCACCGATGATTTCGTGCAATAATCAGCAATAATACAGATTAATTTACTTTTTCTTTTATCCTAATAAACTTTCTTTTAAAATTGATTTCTTATTCATTAACATCTTGCATTGCAGATAGAGGTTTGAAGGATCTGCTGCCAATTACATTCAGCAACATAAGTCACCAGTCGTCACTGAAGAATTTTAGTAAAGACAGATTGGGTTATTTCCATGTGAGTTATTGGCACATTAAAATCTAACATGATAGTAATGAACAATCAGGTAGGTAGGTAGGTAGGTAGGTAGGTAGGTAGGTAGGTAGGTAGGTAGGTAGGTAGGTAGGTAGGTAGGTAGGTAGGTAGGTAGGTAGGTAGGTAGGTAGGTAGGTAGGTAGGTAGGTAGGTAGGTAGGTAGGTAGGTAGGTAGGTAGGTAGGTAGGTAGGTAGGTAGGTAGGTAGGTAGGTAGGTAGGTAGGTAGGTAGGTAGGTAGGTAGGTAGGTAGGTAGGTAGGTAGGTAGGTAGGTAGGTAGGTAGGTAGGTAGGTAGGTAGGTAGGTAGGTAGGTAGGTAGGTAGGTAGGTAGGTAGGTAGGTAGGTAGGTAGGTAGGTAGGTAGGTAGGTAGGTAGGTAGGTAGGTAGGTAGGTAGGTAGGTAGGTAGGTAGGTATAACATTAACAATCTAGATGAAGAGATCTAAATAGAATATCTTAATATCGTAAATATAACACTGAATGTTACAAAGGATAAACAGTTTGAGAGTTTTGAATAAACACAAGTAGTCCTTGTATTCTGTTTGCAATTAAAGTTTGTTGTTACATTGTTACTTGTATTGACTCGTTGACCTAGTAGATGACACTCTCTGGGGTTTGAAGAGATCGCTCACTGGAAGGCAGGTACATCCACCACTTAACGAATCCCAAAAAGGATGAGATGTACGTCCTGGATTCCTATGCTAGCCACTATCCCCCATTAAAATAAAGTTTATTGTCCCAAGAATCACCATTATAATTTACACATGTGGAAATACAGAACATGGAACATACGCTGAATTCTGTAAGCCTAAAATTACTCACCCTTCTTGTGATGTTCCAAACTTAAATTACGTTTAGGGATCTGTTGGGAGGCGCTTGTTGCTTGAGTATTAACAGGCTGTGGATTTACACTAACCACTGAAGTAGGTGTATTAGTTACATCTTGAAGCCAACGAACTTGTGTAGCTGGTCCGTATCCTTTCTCATTTCGTGCAGCTATTCGAAAGATTACAGCAGGTTTTGAACTCAGATCCAGATGAGCAGTAGCCAATGTTGCAGAAGTAACTGTAGCTGAAGGTGACTGACCACAATACACTCGTACAAAAGCCATACCAGATGGTGTTGAACCAACCTTCAAAGAGAATAAAATAACTCGTGTATACGACAGTATATTCTGAAATGGTGGAGATTATTTGTAGCTCAAGTGGATGGTCTTGGTTGTATTGTGTTCTCTGAACTGAGTTGTTTAGTCGTGGAGCTTTGATCGTCTTTCTAGACGACATCATCACCACTAACTTCAGTATAAAGTGAGCTGTCAATATCTCTCCGTCAGTGAGTGATTTAGTAGTAGTTTTTTACTCGATGAACTAGTTTGTGATTGGTTGTTTCCTTTGATTTTGTGTCATTGATTGGATAGATTTTTCTGTTGATTGTTCCTTTCTCCTTGACCTCTGAACTTCCTGTCATTTATCATCTTTCTCATTGGTTGATAGATTGGGTCTATGTCTATACATCTGTTTATTGCCAAGCTTGTAGGAATTCACAGATATTCCTAAAAATTTGCATTCAGGTGAGTCAGCAACCAACAGATGTATAGACATAGACCCAATCTATCAACCAATGAGAAAAATGATAAATGACAGGAAGTTCAGAGGTCAAGGAGAAAGGAGCAATCAACAGAAAAATCTATCCAACCAATGACAAAAAAATCAAAGGAAACAACCAATCACAAACTAGTTCGTCGAGTAAAAAACTACTACTAAATCACTCACTGACGGAGAGATATTGACAGCTCACTTTATACTGAAGTTAGTGGTGATGATGTCGTCTAGAAAGACGATCAAAGCTCCACGACTAAACAACTCAGTTCAGAGAACACAATACAACCACGATAGTATATTTTTGTTGTTGCAATAGCTACAGAAACAAAACATTTCAAATGTTGCAATTGATCAGATTGCTGATAATTGCACTGTATCGTCTAACCGGAATGTCAATTCACTCTATTCACAGTAAGTGTTTTATGATATCTTCATATACGATGTCTGTTACTCTACAGACTTTATCGATTTAGCGCAAGTCTGAATCGAAAGTGAAAAGGATACTACTGGTACCATGACAAATATCGTAGCCTAGCAACCTCTTATCATAGACCATAAACATCATATCTACTTCATGCAAGCCAACCATGTGAAACCAACTTATATCAATATTGACAAGTCGCATAGCATTTGAAACCCTATGAGATTCTGTGGTTGGAATTTAAAGATTCCAAAAGTATAAACCTCAAAAAAAGGCAACAAGACAAACAAACAAAAATACTCCTAAGTAGCTGTTACTGAATAAGCATTCTTTACCTATATCATGAATGCTCCCCCTATTTAAATGTATTTAACGAGATTGCTTTTCTAATCACAATTCGGTTATTCTTCATCTCTTTTTTTTCATATCACTCATTATATAACGGCAGCCAGACTGGAAAGTTGCATCAGTTCATTTGACTGTTGATGTGAATCGTGTAAAGGAATCTAGGTGTCACGTTTGGGGTCCATATGACAAAGGAAAATGGTAGTTGGAAAGTGAGAATCAGCCTGCATCATACAGATGAATCCATACATTATTTTATATTTTAATTGTTATGTGTCGTTATTAGTTTACTCCCTTTCCTGCTCTTCCTAGAAAGGTTTATTGCTTTTGACCACTTTTGTTTGTCGACTTGTGGCTTGCACTAGTCTAGGCACTTGACTTTTCAACCGATGGGGGACTTGTTTAAATCCCGCTCCATCTAGTGACTAAGGTTTGAGCAGTCAAACAGTAACACTGGCCTTCTTCATACAATAGCTGTGGTTTATTGTTTACCGAACGAATGCGACCATGGTTGCCGTGTGCATTTAGAATTTTTAGCGGCACATTTTTTGCTCCTCATGTTATAAGAAGTTTGTTTTCAAGATTAATCCTTGAGTAAACAGTAAGACCAGTCCTTTTTCGAGAACATTTTTTCATCTTCACGGCCGCTTTTTGAGGATCGTTGGCGTCAGATTTGATTGTTTTAACGCCAGACAGAGAAAACCTATACTGTTGGTACCGGAAGACAGTGAGGAGTGCTCTATTCTGGGGGCCGACCTTTTCTAACCTTACTCCTTTCCCACAGGGAAGGTGACATCAAGTGTGACACTGCTGGTCGTCAAATGGGTACACTTCACTGTTGTCACGTTCCATCAAGACAGGAGTACGACTTCCCCCTCCCCCTTGGACTTTCATCATAGTGCAGTAATTTACATTGACGGTAATTGTTTCCCATCTTACGACTATTCAATAGACATTCCTGGTATGTTAGAACCTCGAGGGAACAACCGTTCCAGCCAGTGTGGCTAGTTGGGTCATTGTGATATACAAATCCGACTACCACGGCAAGGTAACAGCTATTAGCCATGCGTATACACTTGGAGTGAGACAAGCAGATGCTATGACTACCATCTGTAAAAACAATATCATTCAAATGGTTAACCGCTTTCGATTCAAAAAACATGTAGACCAATTGCGAGATCAAATAAATTGGCAGATTTATATACAAAATTTCTAAGATTTCAGGGAAAAAACCTTTAGAAATCAGAAAAGAATATACCTTGTTTTCCGTAGAATCCTGTCCAGGAGTTTGGGATTTGACAGCCAAATAGACGGAATATTCAGTGATCTTGCCTGCTGTATTCTGTGGTGCCTCCCAAGTTAGATGTGCACCACTATCGGATTTAGTTATCTTTATAGCACTAGGAGCCCCTGGATAACCTGGTAGACAGGTTTTAAATGCACTTATCTCAGACCATGGACCACGACCACAAGCATTGAGGCCGGCAACACGGAATTTATAAGCTGTTCCCGGAGCTAATTGAAATTTGGGACCTTGTGTAGTTAGACCATTTGGACCAATTCCATTAGCACTTTGAAGTGCACTAATAGCCTATATTGAACAACAAACATATGAAACATGATGCATTTAAAAAAAATGAATAAGTGAAACCATATGTTTAGAAATATATCTTTGGCTCAATGACAACATAACTGATTTTCACTGATTTAATGTAAACAGTAATTGTAACACTGAACTTCAGAAAAACGATATAAGTTTATGGTTTCTTTATCAGTCATACAATCACGCAGAGACTAAAAAAATAATTAACAAGTGTGATTGTTCTACTTTTCAAGTCGAAAAAGCATGAATGACTCATTTGTAGTAACCATAATTATTATTACTATTATTTGTCCCTTGAGTTCCTAATGGAACATAGGGCTTCACTAACACGTCTCCATTCCACTCTCTTCTCTGCAAACTTTTGAAACTGGCTCCACGACAGCACACAACCTCTCATTTCTTCCTCACACCATCTCCTACATGTCACTCACCAACGCCCAACTCGTCGCTTCCCATCTGGGTGCCACTCGAGGGCCTGGCCTGACGCGTGATGTCCCCAATCGACCTTCTCAGTGTATGCCCAATACATCTACACTCTCGTCTTCTGCATATTTGTCCAGCAAGTGATAGGTTCTTGGTTGGTTAGTCATCAGCCAGAGTTCCTTGTTGCTTATTCTTTCTGACCATCTGATCTTCAGTAACGAGCTAGCGTAGGCAGTTGTTGATGTGATGTGATGTATGTCTGTAGTTTGTTGGAAATCCCTTTAGTAATGCGTCAAGTCTCTGGGCCATACAGAAGCACTAGTGATGTGAAAATCGTTCCCCACCCTTCTCCACTGCTCGGTTATCATAAGATGCTGGATGTCTGGTTAACATTGATGTTTAGCAATGTATCTCGTCCAAATATATCCCATTGACACTGAGTGTGGTATTTACGACTGAAAATCCTACTGCCTTCGGAACTATTTTTATGCTGACAAATGGAAGTTTTTTTACTTATCACTTTTGATAATAAATCTGTGCGAGTCTACTTTGTTGTGACTTCAAGGAATTTTGAGATAGATTCCAACTCTTCCCTTACTGTGTAGAGATGGACGGGCAGAAACAAAGGCATCTCGTTAGAATTTCGCATGTTTTAGTGTTTCATTCACTTGAAGAGTTCTACCTTCAGGCATTATCGATTGATTTTCTATTATATCTCATATCATCCAACCTCTTTTAGTGATTATATAGCTTAACCGTCAAGTCAACAAAGTGAACTGTTGTTTTGATACTGTCATAAGTATTTGTACAGGATTATTCACTTATCATTGTAAAATCAATATATTGATATTGATGTAGATAGGGAATCGTATTTTGGTTACTGGTGATGAAGATACCCAACCAACAACAACAAGCTCCAATCACCATCAACGGGAGAAACTTAAAGGAAGTAGCCTCTTTCACCTACCTACCTGGGCAGCATCGTTTCAACTACATGCGGTGGCACAGACGAGGATGTCAAAGTCAGGATCGAAAAAGCAAGACAGGCGTTGATTAACCAGAAACCAGTGTGGAGATCTTCTGCACTACACTCAGTATGTGGAACAACGTCCGGACTTTCAACGCCAACGTCAAGTCAGTGCTTCTGTATGGCCCAGAGACTTGGCGCATTACTAAAGGGATTTCCAACAAACTACAGACATACATCACATCACATCAACAACTGCCTACGCTAGCTCGTTACTGAAGATCAGATGGTCAGAAAGAATAAGCAACAAGGAACTCTGGCTGATGACTAACCAACCAAGAACCTATCACTTGCTGGACAAATATGCAGAAGACGAGAGTGTAGATGTATTGGGCATACACTGAGAAGGTCGATTGGGGACATCACGCGTCAGGCCAGGCCCTCGAGTGGCACCCAGATGGGAAGCGACGAGTTGGGCGTCGGTGCCGAGGGTGAGTGACATGTAGGAGATGGTGTGAGGAAGAAATGAGAGGTTGTGTGCTGTCGTGGAGCCAGTTTCAAAAGTTTGCAGAGAAGAGAGTGGAATGGAGACGTGTTAGTGAAGCCCTATGTTCCATTAGGAACTCAAGGGACAAATAATAAATAATAATCATAATAGTGTGAAAAAGAATTTTCAGTAGCAAGTCTACATATTCATTCGCGCTTTCACGGTATACTACAAGTATGTGATACACGAAAACGAATAGACAGTTCTTGAAAATGGCCACAATTTTTTTTATAGCAACAACACCTCATGATCCCAAATAAAACGCAGGTAAAGACGGAAGCCATCTTTTATAGTAGGCAATCAGCTATATATCGCTAAACCGCACGATAAGCAATCAATCGTACAACCTTAGGAAGACTATATCCAAAACGTTGGACAAAGTTATGTCATCAATCTATACAGATCTTTGGTAGTTGGTTGATCTGATTCTTGTTCAGGAAAAAGAGGCAAGAAATAGCTGAAACTGTAGACTACAGACTTTAAGCAATATAAACATAATGTTTAGTTAGCCGCATAGAATAAGGTCTTGTGAACCTTATTTTGTTCCACATATCGAACACTGTGATGGTACATCTCAGTCTATTTTTTAGTATTTTTTCTCTACCATTTGTTAGTCAGGTAGAGATAAACTACTACCAGTCATGTGTACTGTACTGCCTAAAAGCAGTGAATGACCTCACTCTGTGGTGATTAGTTATTTGTATTTATTAGGATTTTACCAGTTTTCCCGCATTTTCTATACCTTTTACACTAGTTATGCCTGTTGTTGATGGATTTTCCCTTTGTGTATTCTATTTTCAATTAATTTCAATAATAAACAAACAACAATGAACAACACAACTAACATTATAAAATATGACAACTAGGCGAATCACCTTGTCATAACAGTACTAGCATAGATTATATATCACTGTTTCTCTTCTATTGTTAAGCTATCGTCATTATGCTGATGAAAAGATAGATTGGGTCAACCTGAAATGATAGGCAATTATGTCTATCTAGCTGTAGGATTGTTCAATTTCGAGAAACACTTGTCAACACAACAGAATACAATCCATTGAGTTAACAACTGATAGATATATAACACATGAGATGTTCTCTAAGTATATTCGCGTTCAAATAACTCGATGATATCAAGCACAAGTGTAAAAAAAAAAATGATGACAGCAACGATAAACCATTGCCTTCTCTTACTGAATTTATGATAAATTGGTGATAACACACCAACACCTAATGAACATATTTACGGTCATTAATTAATGCATTAAGAGGATTTTATTACTCACCTCCATATGAACACCGGCATCATTTGTACATGCTGAATACATTGTTACAGTAAAATTTGTCGATTTAATAACACCGACATCATGCCATGAATTGTCTACTCGACTAATTACTGTACTAGGTGTTGTAGGCATTGAAGAATTTATCAGAGAACAATTAGTTGATGCGGTTACAACCGGATAGGAGTTAGTAACTAAACCTGTCGTCAGTAAACGAGAGGAGACTTGAGTTCCTCCTAATGAAGTTGACAATGGTGATAGACGAGAATGAGGAACAGAAACAGTAACCAATCGTCCACCATTTGTACTACATATAACATGTGGATCAGAATTTGAATGAACTGTGGAATGTGGAGGAAGTAAATTGTTTTCTATCAAAAAAAAGTGCAGAGATAAAACACTGGTATTAAAAATAAAATCAAAATTCTACGCTAAGCATAGAATGATGTACAATCGACAGTGAAAGTATGTAGGATATGAGCAGCAAAACAGCCTACCAGAATAAGTAACGAAAAGCACATGACTGCACACTAAGAGTCAATTGTACTGCATAGTAACTCCGTATGGCTGTGAAATATTGAAGATATGCGAAAGTTATAGGTGCTCAATCATTGTAACCTTCGTAGAATAGACTGTGTCGTACTATCACTACATCGACTGATGCAAAGTCACGCATCGAGGTTTACGCAAAAGATGAGATTATTAATCTTCAACAACTCAGTTGACTGGAACATGTGTTACGCATGCCTAGGCTAGAAAAAGGTTAAAGGTAGCCAGTTGAGACAACCGAAAACGGTGATATGGCTTGGAATCCAATATCAGTGGTGCGAGTGCATCCACACCTTATCTTGATTTCAATAGAAGTGTATCACATTTTGTTACTTGTTTTACCCACTTTCCCACTCCTTATTGTTTTTCCACTACGCGAACAAGTGAGAATAATTAAGGATTGGAAGTCAGAGGGTTGAAGTGATTCACAAAGAGGAACTAAAAGACTGGAATTCAATGGAGCTGACACCATCTCGGATTGAAGATATTTATTATTAAAAATGCATAATATACACAGAATTACGATGACCCTGGAAGATAGGATAATAAATGTTTAAAGAAGTAGGAGTTAATTAGAACACTCGAGAGTTGTATACATATAACCCGTATAAAGGGGGGGGGATGAACTAATAGTTCATTGGCAGTCAGACAGCGATGGCTGTCACTTTATCGCCACAAGAGTGGGTTGAAGTTCACAGGAGGTTAAAAGTTATTTAGGCAACCCATTGTGTATTTAAATGCACCCAACAACTAAATTATTGGTAAGGTGTTCCTAGGTTGGCTTTTTTCAGTGCTTTTCATAGGACCAACTGACTGCGATGTTGCGCCGAAATTCCCCGTGCTATTTGGAGACCGTATATAACTTTCTCACATTACTGAATAACAGATCATTCAGCCCAGTTGCCACACACACACACACCCTGACTATAGTTATGTACAAAGACGACTGACTCTGACGACGAAACTCTCACTTTACTCTCTGGTATCTAAGGTGTGGTGAATTTTCTAGGAACCATGGTGTGATATGCTGTTCTTAGTGCTTCCGTTTGATACTCTTCGTTTGAGGTAGTGTAGTATACTCACTCAGAAAAAAGCTTTGTAGGGTAAAAACTACTGTCTCACAATTAGGTAAAATAATTTAGTTTACCAAACCGTTGCAATGATTGAGAGGTTAAGGTTATCGACCAGCGTCAATTAGGGGCTATCCAGGCACAAAAGTTTACCTACATCAATATTACTGGGAATCTAGAGAAGTGCTCGGCTATAGCAATGCATGCAATTACACATCAACAAACAACTGAATGGGAAAGAGCGACAGTTCCAAAAATAATCTAGTTGGTTCAAGGAAAATATCGATAGCTGAATCTTGGCTTTATCAATGTCACACCTAATATATGCAGTTAGAATGATTCAGCACCTTTTCCAGATATATGAAGGAGAGAGAATTAGAACCATATGAACCATGTCTCAAAGTTGTCCAGTTATCTTGATATAACTACAGACAATAAATCCCGTCCGAAACGTTACCAAGTAAACAGTAATACTGTTTCACTGTGACACGCATAGATAAGAAAAATGGAATTACAATCTACTGGTGTCTTATTTGAATATTAGTGTTCAGTGAAATCTTAGGCAGTAATAAATGCGACAATTAATACAAAACTGGTTTAGTATGGGTACCGAGGAATGTACGACACGAAATAATAATAACATTGAGAAGACATAAAATGTAATATAGAGGGAATGTGGAGCAAAAATAGAAGCAGGAAGCTAAAGGAATTATCAAAGACGCAGTCTGGAAGATACATTCTAAGCATCCATCACATTTATTTTCCATAACATGAGAAAGCAATCCGAAAAATGATCATCACCAGACTCGATTACGAACCATTTCTGCTACAGTTCTAAGCCACAGAGTTGCGTGACTTCTTGGATCCAATTTAGAAAGTTGTGAAGCACCAATTTATGCTAATCAAAATCAACCATCATTGCACAATGCTGTTATGCAGTATCAACCTGTCGGCTTCTTCCAACCAGTCCTGGGGATAACAAACGATGACTAAGTTACGGATATGAGCGTAAAACTTGGGTACTGTGGTAGAGTTTAATTCCTTTATAGAGTTCCTATTTGATGTAGCACGTAGTGATGGAGTATCAGTTGGAGAACCAATGGAAACCTGAGAGTGATGGATATCGGCTGTTTCGTCCTAGTATGGGACTCCTCAGCAGTACACACACACAACCCGGTTAGGGATAGAACTCAGGACCTTCGGATTTCACAGTGTGTGTTAACCATTCAGCCACTAGGGTCCACAGTTTGGAGGTTCACAATTTCTAACTTCTGTCAATTCGCGATATATCGCGACTATCGTCCAAAGTCTTCGAATGTCATCCCCCTCCCTTCCGACTGGTTGATCCCACAGCTTACGGTGTCTCACTAGAACTTCGTGATATCCATCTAGAAGCATGTCACTAGTGTGTACTATGCAGTAATGTATACTGAAGTTAATGGGAATTTTAATTTTGAGGTAGTATTCATCACGGACTGACATCTGTCAGTGTTTTAATCAGAAGCCGTGAATTGCACGGTCAACCATGAGTCAGTCCACAATGAGTACTACCTCAAAATTAAAATCCCCAGTAACCTCAAAACACATTACATAAATTATTGTTCATAACTCCACCAAAGTAATCACAGAACTATACAAATCAGACCTCCAAAGTTGCTTGGTTATCTGAATATGACTGTCAGCAATAATTTAAGCTTTAAAAGTCATCAAGTAAGTAATGCTGCATCATTATGTGGTGACTTCTCAACATGATACTTAGCTGAAAGAAGAAGGGCAATGGGATTGAAGGTATATTTACTTCAATGGAATAGTGCGATTATAGCTGGAAGTTTAGTCGTTTATATACCCTCAGATGACCTTGACTAGGAAAAACAAAATAGTATATTAAAAGAGTAAAATGGACCAATCAGCAACTTAGTATCTTAAACTGTGATAAAAATAAGTAACATTGCATGGAACGAAAAAGACGCGAAAAAATCTTTGGATTTTACAATCATCATCATCATTATCAACATAGGACCAGGCATTACTGCCTCGCGGTCCGAGTTGCCACACCTCATATCAGCACATCAAGTAAAAAGGTAGTGAGGTGAAGGATGAAGATAAGTGAATGCAGTCAAAAGAAATATAAAGTACGAGAAGAAAGGAAAGAGGAGTGACAAAATAGTGAGATTCGGTATAGCGTTGTTAAGATGAGGATAATGTGTGTATACATCTGCGCCACTGACTTCGGTTCTCAGCCATATCACCTAGGGTCTCCAACCACTGGTTCCTCTTGTCCCGCCAACCCCAACCACCTAGTCTGCATCGTCCTACATGGCTTAAACCAACAGTCAGAGACTTCATACATTGGTGCCATGTTTTAGTCTGGCCACCTCGGGCCTTTTTCCAGCCTGGACAATGAAAATATATACATAAGTCAGTCTTTTAAGGATTAGAAATTCTTAACAAAATGTTATATGGAAGTTACTGATGACTGAAAAATTACTTTAGAAGCCTCAGTATTAAGTTGCATTGTAGTACCTTATAGCAGTGTTCAAGAAGAAAAAGTAATTATATAAAGCAAGTTCACTTGTACATTGAGTCTTAAAGCGTATTACTTAAACTCTTTAGACTTCAATCTTTCACTATCTCACTGATACCAACCACAAAACTGGCACTTCAAAATACAAACAGTTATGGTATCGCAACACAACATCTCTTTTCGACTTATATCATAGCCAGTTCTGTGAACTGAGGTAGGTGACGGGTATAAAATCATAAGATAAGCCATCCATCACATTAACTTGTGATAGTGATGAAGGTTCAGTTAATTTACTTTTTACACCCAATCACTTCAGTTCTATTGAGGGCTAATGATACTACCTGGTTTGAATCTTCATAGGTGGAGTGATGCCTGAACCCACGACCTATTATTGGTTGAAGGTCAACTTCCTAAACAAACAAAGCCACGACTTCACACCCAATACTTTACTTCTAAATTCAACGCTCCACATGATCAATGCTCTGAAGATTAAGGCCGACAAATACCTGTCATTTTTGAGAATCTTTTATTACTAATGGTCAATTTTTCTGCACATATATCGGATATTCATCATTTTTAATCAGGAGGAACGTAAAAATTAGGCAATCTGTCTCAACAATTTACAAAGACCTTCTCTTGGCTAACAAAAGTCAGTCTTTGTACAATTCCCCCAATGAGTGTTATGGTAAGTTTGACCAAAGGTTAAACAAATACCGCCCCCCACCCCCTCCCCAGAACAATTCACAACTTTATACATAAACACCAGTTAAATCTGATTATTGCATAACTGATCTTAATCCAACCGAAAGCAATGACCTTCGTTATCAGTTTGGCAAAATGCAAAAGTATGTTACGTCTTGTTATTCAAACACTTCTACTTGTTGCTGACTTGTTTATCATTTCTATCAATTTACTGAAATGCTAACCGGAGTGTAATCAAAGAAAACTGTTTTAACTTTTAACCATAGTCAAAGGTATAGGTAAAACATGCTACTTACACTGACCGAAAAAGGTAACCAACCGTGTTTAACTAACAAAAACTGTATTCTCTGTGAAACAATATAAATCTTTCAGATACTATAGTCAGTTATAAGATCATAAGGACAAAGAATGAAAGATACTAAAAAGAAGTAAAGTTATGATATGGATTTGTGTATACAAACTTACTTTTAAGGTGATCAGATTAAACTATGATTAACGATAAACACACAACTACTGATGTCGATCCCAGTGATGAATACTAACTTGAAATCAATTAACCAATCAGTATAAGCTTGCTATCTGAATGTCTAGTAGTTATTAGAGAGATAGAAAAATTTTGTGAAGTTCTAATAAGAGAAGCAGTGAACCATAGGATCGGATTAGGTAGGGTATGAGAACAAATATTCGCTGACAGTATTTGGGGATAATGACCCCGCTATATCACAAAATGACAAAAGTAGGAAAATGTAGACTATAGAATTCCGATCGAACATGTTCGTCGTGAGATTTGGCGGGGTAGTAGGTGGGAGAACTGCTGATGAGTTTCATATTACAACAGAGCAGCAATCCAGTGCTCCCAAGTTTTTAATGGTTCTTCAACTGATGTCAATTCTTGATGAATACAACTCAGTAAGAACAATAATGATTCGTGAAGATCAGAGAATGAACAATATACCAAGATGTGAAGTATATATGAATTTAAACAATGCAAACCATCAGTCTACAAGAAGTACTTTCAATAGTTAGTACTGGTATCAAATCATAACATACTTAGAGGAAAAAAAATCAATATGAACTCACCACGATCATCACCACCACCACCGCCACTGCGATGAGCTGCGACTAAAGCCAACGTTTCTAAGGGATCCGTTAGCGAGTTTGTATTTTCCTCCCTTTCATCTACATAGCCAAATCAAATAAATAGTTATTGTGTCAGTAAAATTCGAGTACACAAGATATGAAAAGACCAAACACTAAAATATCGACAAGATAAAGGTATTAGTTTCAGGCAGCATATAACTTTGGTTACTTAACAACAATTTGATGCGTATGTACACCTGAAATGACATCCTTCAGTAGAGATATAAACACTAATAAATGTGCTTTGCAAGCAGAACAACTAAATGAATACAGACTAGTTAGTATCGTCAAACGAAGGATGGTTGTATTCCAGTATCTTAATTGACAGAATGTATTCCATAAACAATTAGACGCTAGGCAATAGTGAATCGAATACAACGAATAACAAGAAAAGGGATCAGGAAAACTGACCTTTAACAAGTACAGCATCTCTAAAAGATGTTGAACCTTTCCCCATTGTCTTTTCAAGATCATTGTCAGCAGACACTTTCATAGATGTTGCATTTGATTTGATGTCAATTAAATGTCGAACAGCTTGTTCAGCCTCTTTGGAAACATTTGCTGAATTACAATGTAAGAAGCCGCCAGTATTATCATCGCCAATATCTGCGAGAAGTTCAGCAGCAGCTTCTACAGCTAATGATGTCTGCAGGTCGGAACCAGAGTCCTTATTTGGAAGAAAAAGAAATGTAGTAACTATGTAAATGTTACAAAATACACTGTAATTAAATTTTTCATTTGATACGATTTATTGTAACGGACCAAGTAATGGAAACTGCAAACTCTATACAATGTTCATTCAACTCTGCATAACTGATACAAAAAGAAAAAGGACAGTGAATGCCAGCAAACTTTAACAGTCCATATTTTCAACTACATCACCAACAGTCACCAACGACTGAATTCTATCGTCTTGAGGACTCCAACCAGGTAGTCTGAACCTACCTACATAATTCACAGCATCAGTAGGAGACTTCATAGACTAGTGTCACGTCTCCGTTTCGTCACCTCGAATCATTTTCAAACTTAATCAAACTTCCTTCGGTATGCAAACTGCATACTATACAATGCTCATTCAACTTTGCATAAATGATACAAAGAGAAAAAGGACAGTGAATGCCAACAAACTTCAACAATTCACATTTTATCAAAATGATTAATCCAATACCAAGTAGGAAAACACAATTGTTTCAATTTTTTGAAAAACTTTCTTTTACAACAAGGCTACCACGCTAACATACAAACAAAAATAACCGAATGTAAGTTATGAAAGGTATAAAACAATATATGGAAATGCATAATACCTTAAAATATCTTCACTGATAATTCAATCCGATGGGAGAATTTCATGGAATGCATATTGAATAATATTTATGAAAGCCTTAAGTACTAACAAGATATTATGAATAGCAAGTCATCTAATATCCCACCACTAAACAGTGAAGTTTCATTTAATGGTCTGAGAATGAGACATTTATCAAACTAACAACACTAGACCATAGAGTAAACAGAAACAACTTTTGTCTTCAAGTTATAAAGCATACAGAATATATGGGGCAACATCTCAACGTCACTCCGTGAATTTACAATCAGGAAGATGGAAGAAATTACTATCCATCAAAAGTATTGTTGACACTGTCAACTGTCTCACACTTTCTGATGATGAAAACATGTTAATGTTGGGAAAATGAACCTTACAATTAGCTACGCAATATTCGACTGACAAAATCAACGTAGGACGTCGAACACAAGCGTATCCAAACTTCACATGAGTACAAAAACAACAGGTGGATAGCAAAAGAGGGGAGTCAAACTAGGCAAGTTTATGTGAGACAATAAACGACCTAGAAATAACAGTCACTCTGAATACCAAAGCTTTAGAAGAAATCAAAAAGTGAATACATCTACGGTATTGCGACCGATTTTTAGCTATATCACCAACAGTCACCAACGACTGATTCTTATCATCCCGAAGACTCTAACTAGGTAGTCTGAACCTACCTACATAATTCAAAGCATCAGTAGGAGACTTCATTGGTTGGTGTCGCACCACCATCTCGTCACCTAGAACCATTTTCAAACTTAATCCAACTTCCTTCGATATGGCGCATCGAGGTAGGCGGTGGCTCGTCATGCGCAGTATATGTCCAAGTCATCTCAGTCGACCAAGGTTCACAATCTCACTAATCGACTTCTCTATCTTGCTTACTACCCCTTCCCCTGACCTCAACAATGTTCACATACGCGAGCAATGCTGCGAGGAAAACTGGGATCAAAACCCAGTAATGGATACATATCTTCTACTTTTAACAACCAAGTCTCGCAGTCATAAAACAGGATAAAAAAAATTGCAATACAGTATACTCGTCCTTTGATTGATAGTTGGATAAGTCACCACACGACACCACAGGTGACACAAAATGGCAAATGCCAAACGGGTCTTCTGTGTTCGTGCTAAGATTTCTTCAGCAACCAGCCCGTTCACACTGATGCAACTCACCAATTAAATAAAGTGATCGACACATTCAACCACTCCACTCACTATCCTTAAACTGGAATTACTTGCAGCAGACCAGTCCTAGAGCATCAAATTACATCCGACAGGTACAAAACACATGCCAAAAATACTCAGATTTCTGCTCAACGCGTTCACAAGACTTCATTTTGTCAGTGTCCTCATTTACCCGGACAATGTTGACTGCGTGCCACAAGTCAAGTAGATAACACCCGGAGAGTAGGTCAATTCTGTCTGAAGTCAGACGTACCTAAGGTTATCCCCATTAGTTAGTCTATGAAGAAGTTAAACAGGAACGGTGACAACCACCACCATCTCTCTCATGGACACCACTACTTGTCGTCAATTCACATGACAGCTCTCCATAAGTCCACGTGAATTCGAGTAGATAGCTTGTATTGGGGTTATGTACTTGCTCAATACTGTCTTCACAGTCAGACACTACCACAACAACTCATGGTCGAGAGAGTCACATGCCATTGTCAGGTTAAGAAATATGGCAAGTGTCGGTCACTGGCCGGTAAGTATAACTGTGTTCTGGGACCTGTTCAAAATGTAATAGACGAAGTGTTGGTGATTACTAATGGGAAGTAGACATTCAAGTAAACACAAAGATGAAAGAATCATATCAACGCCATGCTTTCAATTCGAAGCTACAACAACGTATGAACTGATTTATGTCATAAAAAGTATTAGCGAAAGTCGTCTAATCACAGATAAAAGAATTTTATATCACCATCAAACTGTATTTTTATTACTATAAAAGAATATTCTACAGAGAAAAAAAACTTACCACCGTATCATTTGATAACTGTTCACCAACATGCTGCAAAATATCTACACCTTCCTTTGTTTTTATTTTTTCTCTATCTGCGTTCGAATCCATAATAGCAACTGACGCAGCCTCATTTTCTGTTGTATCATCATCATTTGCATTACTAACAATATCTCCGTCTTCATCATCCACCGTACCATCTACCTGCGGAATAGTCTGGAAGATTGTTGATGTAGTGGTGGTTGTGTCGTTTACACTACTAGCACGTGTCGGATCGTACTGATCACGTCGGACTAGAGTTACTTGTGTCTGATTTGCTTGTCGTATTATCGGACATGTACCACCTCCAGAAGAAAGGTACAAGTTTGATGATACAGGAACACCAACCGATGATGATCCTGAAACTAAGATAAGGCATAAATAATGTACACAATGAATATTCACAAAAACCCATATATTACGTAGACAATATGTCAGACGAGAAAAGCACTGTAAAATCTAGTTTAGAAATATATCTACTAAATTTGCCACGTTTCACTTTAGCACACAAATAGAAATCAAACAGTGAAAGAATGATACTGAAATAAATAAAAATGCATCACAGAAGAGAGAATAAACAGATGAAGTTCAACATATAAAAAAGCTCCGAATTTCAACCCACAGCTACAATTTTGGTATTTCGATCGGATTCGCATATCCAACGGAATGGAAATGCACTCCAGTAACCAATTGCACATCCGTGCAACAAGCAACGAGCCACACTTAACGTGTAAGGGTTAATTTTGCTACCCGGCTGTTCAAACGTGGGTTAGTGGAGCAGAGTGTGAACCCATGACCCATTGGTTGGAAGCCAAGTGTCTAGACCTACGAGCAGCAGCCCCATATATCACAATGAAGAGCCTAGCTGGTTAAAATGGTTACTTCTTAACGACGTTTGTTAGATAACGATAAGATTAAAATTAGTAACCGATGTGATGTTAGTTTATGCTGCTGTGAGGCTGTGAGACTTGGACATATACTGCACATGACGAGCCACCGCCTACCTCGATGCGCCATATCGAAGGAAGTTGGATTAAGTTTGAAAATGGTTCTAGGTGACGAGATGGTGGTGCGACACCAACCAATGAAGTCTCCTACTGATGCTTTGAATTATGTAGGTAGGTTCAGACTACCTAGTTAGAGTCTTCGGGATGATAAGAATCAGTCGTTGGTGACTGTTGGTGATATAGCTAAAAATCGGTCACAATACCGTGGATGTATTCACTTTATACACGTGTTTGAGCATTTCCACAAAACTTCGTGTTCCAAAAGCTTTCCCGATGAAACCGTCTGATAAATGCCAAAAAATCGTCAACAAAGTAAGATATGTTACTTGACTACGCAAACAGACAATATCAAGTTGCGATACCTCATGTGAGAACACTAAGAGAGAAAGCAATCAAAAGGGGTAGAAATTTTTAAAAAGAAATCAGAGGGAATAGTGGAATATTTAAATGTAGTATGACGATTAAGGTGAGGATGATGTGTGAATAGATTTGCGCCACTGAGACCGATTTTCGGCCATATCACCTAGGGTCTCCACAAACACTGGTTTCCGTTGTCAGGCAGGCCGTAACCAGGATGTCTACATTCCTTTACATGGCTCAGATAGACAGTCACAAACTTTATGGACTGACGCCATGTTTCAATCAGGCAGCCTCTAATGTTTTTTCAGCCTGAACGTACTTAATTAACTTGCACCAATCTAGTTCTTCCTAGATATTTTTTTTAAGACCAGCCGCATAAAACCCAGAACAGCAAGTGACTCGCTTACAATACAAAGGTTTATTCATTGAGTACAAATTGTGTTTCCATGTCTACAGTAAAATTTATGTTACACCACTTTTTGTCATGTCTCAAGATCAATCCACGTGGCTACGTAAAGATTGTGGAAACATTGTCAAGTTTTGATAGGAGACTGTAGCTGCTGAAAGGCTATATATGTTGCAGCAAGACTTAGTTTTCTGAAATTTTCAACTACTTCCGAAGAACTGGTGTTTAGCTCCCTTAAATTCTCTGTTTGTGAGCCCTGTGGATTATGTTATTTTTGCAGAGTGGTCAAGAAAGACACTAATCATAATGCTTGTTATACGAAGACCTAAATTCGTCAGAAAAATTAAAAATGGGATTCAAGGCTTTCATTGGAGATACAGCAAAGGGAGTATATATTAGATTCAGAAACCAGAATAAGGTGCAAGCTGGGATGGCTCCTTTGAATATTTCCTTTGTGTCCATTTTAAGTTATACGCTGCTTCTGTTTAGTTTTATTAAACTTATTTCTCCGTGTTTTCTTCTTCCTCCTTCTCTAAAGAATATTGTCAAATTAATCTCAAAGGATTTTCTTCCTAGAAAGAGAAAAATCAGAGTATCTACTGTTACAAATATGAGTCTACATAGGAGATCTGTTTATAAACCATTGAAATGAAATTCAAATCACTTGTCTAACAGAAGTGCTTCTTCATTTGACGTGGATAGTGGTGTAGCGGGTGTTGCTGATAAGGATGGATATAAGTAGTATATGTTGAGAGGGCGGCAGGAATCATAGGGAACTGCCAGCAATGGGTAAGGATTCTGCCCAGAGGAACACGAGGAAAATTATGGCGTATTAAGAGCAAAGTAAGATACAAACAGAAGAGGAAATAAAGCACATTTTGCAAATGATTGTCTTAGTGCAAGGTGTACCGTATTTGATGACTACTTTACAAGATATCCATAATAAACATCCCTTCCTTCATCTCTGTCTTCTCGTTTCCTTTAGTACACATTACTAACCGAGATAGTTGGGATAGGTTTAAAATCATAATTCAATTCAATGACTGAGTGGTAAGTAAATCAGTGAAAAGAAAAGGAAATATGCACTAAACGAAACACAAATCTTACTTGATGGACTCATGATAACTATCTGCTGTCCAGTTGGTCTGTGCACAGAACCTGAGACTTGAACAGTTGTCTGACCTGGACGACCCACACTGCTACCCGCAATTAAAATAGGCTTCCCAGATGCAGACATTTGAAGCATAGATGCTGGAATGGCTTTGATTACCTTCGGAACTACAACTGTTATTGTTAGAAAAACAAATGAATAACTTCTCAAATGAATATTAAACAAACAAAAAAGTTATATATCCTAAAAAAAATTACTCTACTCATAGATAAATCAAACAATTTACAGAAATCGTCTAAAGTAATAGCATGAGATATCAAAGAGAACAGATAAGCGACAACATTCTTCTGAATTCTTAATCGTCTGCGCGACAAGTAACGTTCAAATATCTGAGAAACGGAAACTCTAATTAACAGTGTCCACAAGCGGAGAATGCAATAATATCGATGATAATGATAATAATAACTACACTATTCAAGATAATATTTACGGTGTTTAGCACTGGTGGTTCATTTTACCAGCAAAGGAACATACTATTCAAGATGGATATCTGAAGAAAAGAAATCTGATGGATTTTCCTGCATTAAAAACTTAATTTCTATCCAAAATGACATTTCCCCTTCGTTTCATTATTACTTCAAAAAAAAAAAAACTAGCCCAGAACATTTCAAAAATCTGCAAGAGTATGAGATACGTTTTGAGGACAAAATTGACAGATTAAAACAAACTGAAACGGAGGAATTTATTGTGAAATAGATTGGTGGAAAATTTCATTGGCAGCCCAAAGTTCAAGCAGACCGCCATTAAATTGGTATTTGGCTGTATGAACATGAAGTCTTATGCAATTAATACGTGATCACCCTGAAGAGAAAGATGTGAACACAGGGGATGCTCGATGTCCGATAGAATAACTGTAACTAGTTGCCTGTATGAATATCTGTTGACTACAGTGTCAGTCATTTGAATCTGAGACACACATACCACCACCACTGATAGCTTTCATAGTCAAGTGTAGTAGTATAATCTCTTTTTTTTTAACAGACCAGGGAAAGATTAACGGGGAACAACAAAGAAGAATAAATAAAATAAAGGGATTAATAAATTGTAAAAACAGACGCTGAGCTATATCATGGAGTCCAAGTTTCCCCGTGTAATAAGTTCAACCAAAAAATTCTCGAAGTCAACAGGACATGAGATGATCAACAAAGGTTGACGAGAAAAAAATAATCCAAGGTTAGTAATACTTGACTTGCTTTCTATAGTAGTTAACATCCATATTACAAAAATATTGCGTCTGAAACAGCTAACATAGGTCTTCTTTACGCCTGCGAATAAAATTAACAGTCTGATTGTTTAAAAACAATTTAGCTCAAGACGATTTGAGGAAGACTACTGGTCAACTCTTCAGACAAAGAAACATTCCTTTGAAAAAAATCCAACTGAGAAAAGACTAGGAGAGAAACTATCAGTTTATCAGCATACTTGATAGATTTGGTTTTAACCGAATAAGGTAAGCCAGGAACTTATCGACTTTAGTAAACAATGAAATAGAACACCTTTCTTTCAAAGAAAAATAAGAATACAACTAGCTACTAAATCAGGCCTCAGCATGTGCAATGGCAAGTTTATTTAACAAGAGTGGCTTCGGAACAGATTCAAATGCAGATGTACAGTTTGAGACAGCACGGAGAACACAGTTATTAAACTTGTTTGAACTGGAAAGAATATTATGATGCAAAAAAGTGGCAGCGTCAAAAATAACTTTTACTGTGTTTACAAGCGAATTGCTTCGGAGCTCTAAATGACTTTAGTCATATTAGAAGTAGTTTTTTGATTGTTTTCAAGAACGGAGAGGTTATAACAATAAGTCTAAACTATACATCCGATCCAGATGACTTGGGTACCGAAGCAGTTTTAATATGACTTCCAAGCAGTAAGTGTTATATTTTTGGGAAATAATGCAACAAAAATATGCGTAAGCGGATAACATAAAATGGTGGTTCGGTGTTCTTTGAGTTCTGGTCGTAGAAATTCTCTCGCAGCTTTCGAACCTGCTCTCTAAAGGATTTCCACATTCTCCCAGTCAAATTTTTGAGGTCGAGCAATTCGGCCATGTATACCAACAAAAAATTACAAATATAAAAACAATAGCTGATACCCGTTTTACAAGGGGTGGTTAAGCTACCCCCAGTGGCCTAGCGGATAACGCTTTGGCGTTTGAAGCGATGGGTGCTGGATTCGAGTCTCAGTGGGGACAACATCACTCACTGGGATGCATATACATCAACCACCTGACGAGTAACAAATAGGATGAAACATAAGTCCTGGATTCCACTGCCACTCCCAAAGATGAGAGTTAAGCTTTACACCATAATTATTTCTCAAACTATGAAGATTATTTCATGACGGTAGTAAATATCATAACAGAATCTAACATATGTAATAATATTAGTGATAGTGCTACTTAAAAATTCATTGAAAAATATACCCCAGTCTGTGTTTTAAAATGCCTCTCAAGCATAGTATCTTATTTTTGAATAGCATCTGTGCTCGTCTTTTGTGGAAGAGTATGCAGAGGCTTTCTTTTGTAACTAGTCATGGACTGTAGACAAAATATGCACAATACAACAAACAGTCAGTTATTTCTGAACACTAAATCCAGACTAGCCTGAAAGTTAATAAGATTCTCATGATCCAATGATGTAACGAAACTGCAATCAGACGAATTAAAATCTTCACAGACTACATACAAAGAGCTACCTATAATAAGAACAGAAAATTCACCAAGAATGGATAAATCGGAGACACTACAGTCAGATGTGTTCATCAAGTGAAATGTGTTTGCGTCTACTCAAGTGTTCAGGGCAATATTTATTAGTAATTCGACGAATAGTGTCTTTTAAAAAGCTGAGCACTAATGAATATAAGTACATTTGCACCATGCTTCTTCTTCGAAAAACACTGATTCTTTCGAAATAATAGTGTGAAACCATTTAAAGAAACTACATCATCATAATACAGACTATTAAGTCACGTTTATTGTAGCGTCGTTACAACCGAATTACGGTAAATATTTGTGGATAAGGTTGATTGAATGTAAATAACTTTTTCTCGCAAAGACCTGCTGTTCATGTTAAGTATTTCGGGAATAATCGTTTGACTTACTGTTGTACGTTTTAGAATCTATTCCTTATTTTGACCTTGAACTTGCAAAATGATAGGTTGGAAGGATTTTGAAAATACATGAAAGTAAGTAATAGATGACATTTGAATGATGAAAACAAAGAAAGGAGTAATTCAATGCAAAATATTCCGTAAAGAAAAAAACTAGGTCAGTCACATCATCACAACGAAGTGAATCAACATTTTAACGGTAAAATATCATTTAAGAAAGAGGAAATGAGTAACTAATTCTTCCATTTCAATCTATGATTTGAAGAAATCAACAAACAATCAAGCTAACAGTGAATACCTATCCAACTCGTTACAAAAGGAAGATGAAAAAAAAAGAAAATAACAGTAACGTAAAAGAGAGATATGAAGAGCAAGGAGGAGAAACTAGATTTACATAACAACCAGAAACGAATACAACTGCACTGTAATCAACTTCGAGATATATCACTTATAATTCCTATTGTTACATCAAAAACAAGATATTCAGCGGAGAGTCTTTTCAACGAATTTATGCTCAAGCTGTACATTCGTCTATATATATATATATATATATATATATATATATATATATATATATATATATATATATATTTGAAGACTGTAATCTGTGAAGATTTAACTTGAATAATGAGAGGTTCAAATAATAATGATGGTGATTATAAGGATGATAATGTTGCTAGTTGATGATGTAAAGGTCGAATGATAACAAAATGGGGTTACGTAAGATTTTAAATCATTTATAAGATGCATATAGATTAAAAAGGGGGTGAGAACGTGATAGAGTTAATAAATATCATATGCATACGAATGCACAGCTTGAGAATAAATTCGTTGAAGAGTCTTCTTTGCTGAATACCTTGTTTTTGATATATCACTTAAACATTCTCATCTACCAACTCCTGTCGTCTGATATACCCTAATCATGGAAAAGATTTGTAGCTCAGAATGAAGATGACGGTGATTTAGTGTCCTCTGAAAAACCCTTCTTTAGCAACTTACTACTAAAGATGTCACCAAGCCTGGTTATGGAACGTCAACTGGAAAATATCAAAGCTCAGAGAAAACCGAACCACCAGCATACCTTAATCACTCCAACAGTTACTCATGTCATGAAATAATGTCCCAGTATCTTAATCTGATCGCTTTGACGCTCGTTTCATCCTACAACGGCTAACAGCGCATATCGTAGTAGATTGGTATACGTATACCACATACTACATCAAGTCGAGTTGGTGAAGACTCATAAACTTATGAACTAATCTACCTTCTTCACTTCGTACCGAATAACTAACCGTTGCATTGCACATATGATGATTTAACTATACACAAGGTTTTAAAAAGGCGATGGTAGTCAAACACCTTCACCTTTACAAAATCATGTCTCATAGAAACATAGTATCAGAATGTACTGCTAGGGGCAGTAAAATTTCCATCAACTGGGACTGACACAAACCAAAAATTCTTACGAAGCCATTTCTTTATTCCTGAAACTTTTCAGTAGTATACACACATGATTGTATCAGAGGTTTAATCTATGACCTCATGAGTGCATTTTCTTCGATGTTATTAAACAATAAAGGGTATAAACTGAAAATATACTGATAGTATAAATGGGATAAATCTGTTTTTTATTTGACGTCAGTTTTCACATCTAGCATTTAAAAATAGTTTGAAAAACCTATGGACCGAAAATAAAGGAATACAGACAACAAAAAATCAAATAGTAGTTACTCACCGTTTGAAGCACCTGTCCCAGTCGATGTCTGTTGAACAGTAATAGTTTTGGAGACAGCTGAAGATGTTGTCGTAGAAACCAGCTTGATAGGCTTAATTAATCCAGTTGACTTGTTCACGATATGCACTACTTGATTTGGACTGGAAGTGACTACACCAGAGTTATTTGCAACAATGGGCAGACTGTTTGAACCTTGGATAGAAACTGCAGAGACCACTTGTTTACCAGCGACTGTAATAAGCTACATGATAAGAAAACATTTAACTTCAAGATGAGGGAAACAATACATACGTTAGTTGTGAAATGATGATGAATATCATCTATATTGAATCTGCTCTAACCGTTAAACCACACTAGATACAAGTAAAAGTAAAGCGTTCGTTTTTCAATGGTAAGTCAAACCTAAAAGTTGATGTGTCACGCTATGACAAGCTATCCAAAGAGCATACCTAGTTGTTCAAGCCTTGAAATATGGAAGTGGAATCCAAAACTCCAGCGAACTTTTTGTCAGAAGCCTAGTCACCAAGGTCATCAGAGAACCCGATCACCTGCATACCCAAACATTAAGCAAGGCAGGATCAGATGTGAGGTGATGAATTCAAAAGGTAAACGAATATTCCTAACCTGATATCCAGTTTCTAACGTCTGCATCGCAAACAACTACGTTTCCTATATACTGAGGAGTTTTCGGTTACACTTACTCGTGAAATTAGAAAAGATGTAGTCTTCAAAAGTACATTTATTATGAATCTAAATAAAAACAAAGTGAAAATTCATAATGCAAATACTTAATCATAGGCAGTACTGACCACACACTTAAGTAAGCATCATGTAGTGTATTACTTGTATTTTTTTTAAATAAAACAAATAAGGTAACGTAACAACTTGCTGGATACCTTCTAATGAAACACCGACAAAAGACACTTCGATTGATACAGCCAAATGTAAACCTTTAAATCCCGTTTCATTTACTTCAGCCTGGGTAACTAGGTTGTAGTACAATTAGCATTCGTACAAGTGAGCCTGATAACCTAGTACACAAACTTGCATAAAGTTGACATTTTTATTTATTCAGATCGAAGGACATGGATGATGTAAAACATAAGTATGCCAACGGTCTGGGACTTGGTGAAGTAAAGTATTTGCTGTGGTTTACTTGTAGAGATTCGGTTTACTGATCTAAGCAGTCAACTTTCAACCAGTGGGGTCACGGGTTCAAACCCTGCCTCGACTAACAAGGTCACGGCAGGCAAGTAGTGTCACTAGCTTTTGCACAATATGTATGATTTATTGTCTAGTGTACCAACTTACAAATAGCTGACTACTGAGTTGTGTGTAATCACAACCAAAAAAAGAAATTTAATCAATTCTATTTCCTCTTGAATCCAGAGGATTTGTACTCTCAAGATTTGCAAGGAAATTCAACTTTTTATGGCCAACATTCGTTAGAAATGGGTACCAAAAAAAGTTAATCGATAAAAATCTGCGTCGGAATGCCGGACATTAGTACCCTATCAATGTGGGGAAGCCAATTTTGAATTTAGTGGAGATTTAGCAGGTGAGGTACTAAAAGAGACTAATGAAGTCTGTCAAAAGAATATTTAGTACAGTCACTCAGATAGACAGACAAACAAATCAACGTAGAACCTCACATACAAGCGCATTGGCTCAAGTTGCCACACTTCATAGTTGGTGTAAAAAGTGATATCTAACTAGACAAAGTTATGTGGGAGAACAAGTAATCTGAAGATAATGGATAGTGCGAATATTAGGGCTACACCTCCATACCAAGGATCAGAGGAGAGACTTCATGCATTGGTGCCACTATGAAAATCACCCATACTAGTTGATTAATGAAGAACAGATGCGCAAAGGATAGAGTGACACTGTTGGCCACTTTTACATGCATATATCAATTCGCCTGTTTCAGTGGAGCTAGGAACATAAGCCACACGCAGAGACATTGTCCAACATAAACGTCAATATCTTCCAGTATGGCTCAGAGAACGCCAACACAGATCAACCACTAGCCCCTTTACTACGACATTTAGTTAACAGTGGACACAATTCCAGAAGATTTGTTTGTATTAAGTAGTTTATAAAGTACAACGTAATCTCCTAAACGGTATTAGGAAGTGTTTACTTTGCACTAGTGAGGCTCAACCAATGCATCAATAACCAAACAAAAATCTTATCTAGTTTTACCCAGTCTCCAGTTCCCTAACTTTAATTTGTTATGGAATCTACGATTTTGAAAATTGTTAATTGTTGGGAGAATTTTCAATTCACTGACAACATTGGCTGTAACACTTAAGACACAAAAATACCAAAAAACTATTTGAGACTCTTTAGCGACAGAATCTATGCAGACCTAAATAGCCAATCTTTATACTAACTGATATGAATGGGTGAATAATTTTAACGCCGATAAGCGGTGCTCACTATCCACTTCTAAGATGTAAATAGTTGTTCTCTTTATTAGCGGTTGAGGTTTAAACTAATGTACCTTGGATGATTCAATCCAGACAGGCAAATGATTTGTCCAACTATTTGGGTAAACTAGTAGCGCATAAGGTAAAAACAAGCTGAACCTAATTCTCAATCAAACATGGACTGAATGTTCTGGGAAGTACAGTGAAACACTGGTAGAACTACTCTGACAACTGATATTTCTGAACTGTGCACAATGGAGTCTCCCTTTTTAAAGCTACATCTAACCATAGACAGATAGGCAAAGCAATGTAAAGACTTACACAGAAATGCTTCAGTTTAAGTTGCAACAGTATGCAAACAAACTGAATAGAAAAAGACTGATACCGAAGTTGAGAAACGTGTAGAAAAGAGAGAACTAATTAGTAAAGGTCAGTAAAAATGAGCGAAATTTCAAAGACGACAAAGAGTATATCCATCTGCACCATTGTCATCGATTTTGAGCAATGTCATCAAGAGTCTATCTACCTGTTATCCAACAGCAAACCATAAAACTCGATAGCTTGTATGCAGGTTCCCGAGTAAATACCCTCACTAGTATTGCAAAATCCAAGTAATTACGCAATACCTTTTTACTACAATCCAGCAAGCTCTATTACTATCAAGGAACAGAATTTGGAAACCTGATGTATGGGATTTAACGTTTCGACTGAGAATCATTAAATGAAGACGAACCACATTCAGCAAACTTGTGCACGCTTTCACAATAGGCAATGAACCAAACCTGTTTTGTGAGGGTTAATGATACTACCTGGTTGCCCAAACTTCGATAGGCAGAGCGGTGTTCGAACCCGTGACCCGCTGGTTGGAAGTCAACTGCCTAACTAATGAGCCACAGTTCCACATTAAGGAAGACAAGTAATGAGTACACTAACACTACTATGATCGACTTTGAGTATCTTCTAATATCGTTTTCTACTGTCACATAGACCACAATTACATAGAATACACAACCTTAAGGGACTACGTGCGGTCAGCAGCTGTCAAGAAATTCATGGATTGATGCCATGTTTTGGTTTAGTCACCTTTGTTTGAAAAGACCAACTTGATGTTAGATCCTTTTAGACGAAAAAAAACCATCGTATTATATTTTACAGGAATAACTACTCCATAGACAGAATTAGGAAGAAAACTCACATGCTGTTTGGGAGCGATAGGAGGACATGCACTTCGAATAATCGTGGGACCACATGGATTGATACTGCTGGAATGTTGCGCTACAGTTGCGATAGACGCACCTCGTCCGGTAACTGCGCTGCCCGGCACAGGAGTTATTTTCAGACCTGTCGGTGTAACCACAGTAGGACCCTTTGGCCAGCTACAGTGACGCATGAGTTTGGTAACACAGAAGCAACAGCTGTGGCAGCAGGTAATCTGATGGGGATGGGTATTGGAACTGAATTTGCTGTAGCTGGAGTGGTGATTACAGCCTAAATAATGGGCGTTAATAATAGAAAATTAATAACATCGCCTCACATTATTACTGCTAGCACCACAATAAATTCTAAAGTTGATTAGGTGCTACTTACCTGTGTAATAGTAGTAGGTCTCGAAAAGTTTAGAGAACCAGAGGATACAGTTATTGGAGCTTTAGCGATTCCACCTGTATCTACCGGTGAAGATGTCAACGACTGCGACGAAGTTGTCGAAGGAGAAACATCGTACTTCTGGATCTGCAAGATGTAGGCATCTGCTGTTGGAACTGAACCCCAAGTGACTTCGAGACTTTGTGTGCCAGCACGAACTAACTGCACACGTGTTGGAGCAGCTGGACGGTCAATTTCCAAAAACCATAAATCTTTGAAGCATACCTAAAAAAATTCCAGATCGGTTAGTATGAATTTTAAAGATATTATCAGAGTTCCCAGTTTATATGAAAGCTTACTTGATTATTCCATGCCTTTCTATATCCATCACGACCTGACCATATGTACAAACGACTATGAACTGCTACAGCACAGTGGCCCGCACGAGCACGAGGCAAAAGACACTCATCAGCAACTTCCATGGCCAACGGTTCCCAAGCCATTGTATCAAGGTTAAGGCTAGCCAAAGTATTGGTGCATTTCCATTCTTTTTCTTGGGCTGTCATTTTAATTTCTTCCATAACCAAAGGAACCCAGCCGCCGAAGACAAACATACTAAGAATAATGAAATTATATACAATGAAATTACTCAACAGAAACTGTGTCAAAATCAGTTTACATACATTTCATCAAGTGAAAGTTAATCCTAGGACAGTAAGTAGTAATACTTTTGGTTTTCGATGTATATCAGGGATCAAATAGATGTCCCAAGACAAAAGACATCACAAGACCACCACCTACAGCAATTATACCAATGTAAAGTCATCAAAACCGTAGGATAAGTGAAGTGAGAGAATGGTACTTAAATGAGGACTTTGAATTAAGAAATCACGTTGTACACCCCAAAACTTTTCACAGAAGAAAACGAATTCTGGCAACTAGAACACCGACACGTGCTACTCAAAAGATACAAAAGACAAAACTGCAAAGACTTACTAATTCAAGGAAAAGGAAGAAATTAACTGGGAATACGACTAGTTATATAATTATGCCGCATCCATAAGTGTGAAGTTCATGAAAGAAAAACTACCTCCCAAGATATCAATTAATAAAAGTACTTGAGGGACAAGCAAAAGAACACTAAACTGTCAACTACTAACATTGGATTCCTCCTTCAATAAAACCGTTTGATCTCTAGTCGACTGATATACGATGGCTAACGGTAGCGATAAAAGTTGATGACCAAACGTATCACAAGGTAGGGGCAATCGGCTTCTCCCACCCTTTTTACAAGCTTTAAAACGAAAATATGGTGATTGCTTCTGTTTTTGTTGAAGAGGAAGTGAAGGAGATTGTAACTGACACTGTCTATTCCACATCCTTAACAGTTACAAGTAGTGAGAAGTAATGTTTTCCATCGGCTGCACTCATTTCATCAAATCATTGATAGAATAAAGACAGCTGCCAAGAACTGTTTGTTGGCCGAATTTAAATGTTTTCCTTATGGAAAATAATTCTACGATGGCTTAAAATTAGTAAACTGGGAGAATTACTTTGTCTTTCTAGATTATCTGATATTACTGTTACTGAAAATGGAACACAGTTCATATCATTTTTATAAGTTCCATCAAGACAATAAAATCGATCATGTCCGATCTTCACCAAATCATCCTTAGTTGAATGGTTAGGCAGAAAGATTTATTGATACATTCAAATAAGCCATTCCAAAAGAGAAGGGAGAAGTTCTCCAAAGGTTTCGTTCAGATTACCGATTAATATCGAACTCATTAGCATAAAAATGGATTATCACCTGCTGAAAGCATTTTTGGACGCAAAGTTTATATAGCCTTGGATGACCTCCTTCCAAACAATGATGGAAAACAACTACAACAAATGCTAGGGTGTGAAGCTCAAACACTTTTCAGTCAGGATGAGTTCTTGATTTTCAAAGACTGATCCGTGGAATCATCAGAAAGAAAACAGGTTCTGTAAATTACAAAGGGGAATTTAGAGGAATACCATGGTTGATACATGTAAACAACATCAGAAAACGTGAAGGTCTGACTGATGCGAACAATCAGTTTCAATAAAATTTCTCGGTGAGAATCCTGTATGGGAAAGTGGATATAAAAGAGAAAAGTGAACAGGGATTGAAAGCACGTAGGGAAAAACAACCTAGATCACAGAGACTGAGATGACCGACACAGTATCTTCAGGTGGTCCCCCAGTCGAGAACATATTGAAATTTACGAAACTGATCGTTTTTAGAGTTCTTTTCCAGGTGAATCACTTTTTATAGTAGGGACATGAGAAAGAGATACGAATACTTGAATAAAACACTTGTAAAAACGTACCTAATAACTCATGATGATTCATATCCAACTTTATCATGAAAAATGGCAAGTGTATCTTGTTTAACAGTAGCACCAATAAAATAAAAGCAAAATGGAAGGGTCTTTGAAAGGGTCAGGTTTAGATCTGGTTCTGATTCATAAAACCATCAATTGCTGCACTGAGTCATATTGTACGTTGGTTGGAATTCATGGGAAAACATAGACTAAAACTACATGAAAGATGCAGGCTTTGTTTCTACAAATATTACGCGTCCCAATTATCACAAACCTACGTGTTCTACATCTTGTTTCCCTCTAGTCTATCTTGTTGCTTCTAATACTCTTCGTTTGATATATAGCAACCCGAGTAAATATCTGGTATACAGGTTTCACGTTGTTTTTGTTTCTCACTAAGACCTTTTGTACCTTTAGAAATAAAGTCTGTTGGTTGGTTGGTGCAAAAAGTTAACGAAAACGAAACGCACTCAGCTTGTGCATATCCGTACACTAGGCAATGAACCACACCTATCACGTAAAGGCTAGTGACCGTCCAAACCTCGATAGGTGTATCGGGGTTCGAACCCGTAACCCACTGGTTGATAGTCATCTCCCTAAACCATTGGGCCATAGCTCCAAAAAGAATCAGTATGCAACGAGAAACAATCGATTACTTCTGTTACAATCTTATATACACCAGTTGAGTCATACTGGTACCAACATGTGTAAGCAAGTGAGTGTGTATTGATGCCTAATTATCGCCAGCTTTAGAAAGTGTATGAATTTCACTCTATCAGACGAAAACTTAGTGGCACTACTCCATGCTCGATTTCATATAACCCAATACATTGGATAATTAGACCATGAAAAACTTCAGTGTATGTCAACTTATATTTTCACAATTGTTGCTAATAAATGTAACTAAAACTATTATTCACCTCTCATGCTCAAAATGAACGGTGCACTACAACTGAGAACCCGTAACCCCAGAGCGCTTGACGTAAGATGAGATAATGCAATAGCTGAAAATTAATTTAAATGTACTTTAATGTCAAAAGATATCACAAAGTCTGTAGCATTACAGTTGAATACTTTTCGACACCACTTACCGATTTCCAATTACAGTTGCACTATGAAGACTACGAGGTGCCGGTGGATCTCCACTGATAATAGGTTTTATCCACGTCATCGTATCAATCTCCAGTTGCCAAAGATCTCCAAGTCGATTACCAGACATACCACCATATACTAGAAGGCGCCATTTTTTTACCATACCATCAAGAACTTGATAAGCTACTGCGCTGTGTGACTCTCTAGGCGAAGGCGGCTGACCGTATGTGTTTGGAATATCCCAACACATAGTACTTGAGTTTGGTTTTAACTCCAGAGTGTACAAATCGTTTAAGTACCTAAATGTAAATATTAATACATCACGATGTAATTTACACAAAAGCAATTTTCTTGGATAAAGGTAGAAAGGTGAGATCATATGACAAAGAATTTCAAGCTAACAGGTTGTTTGCTATTATGCGAAGTAAACCGTACAAGAAACAGTATAATGAAGGTAAGAGCTAAAATTATTTGAGATGCCTCTGATTTTATCCATGGGTTTAAAAAGGGTTATTTCAGAGATACAGGTGCCCATCAAATGCATCAGTGTTTCAGTACATACCAGTGTGAAGTCTATCATACAGTCCAAACGTCAAACAACTTATATCACGGAAGATGCCTAAGTACAAATCTGACAGATACATTGTCAACACGAGACCTGGTATTTCCGTGAAAAACCACAAGCTGCTACACAATACATAAACGCAGGTAATGAAAGACAAAAAAAGAAAACAATATGATCGAAGGTCATGGAAAGTTGTAAAACAACAGGAGATAAAGCTGATGATTAAATACGATACGAACACCAAGGTGAAGAGAAGTGCATCTTCATCCCTGCGATCGGTTGTACACCGTATCACTTAGTCTTTAACCACCGGTTCTGGTTACCTCGAGGATACCAACTAAGTCTGTACTTCTTTAAACCGCCCAAAATAGCAGTTATTTGGACTGTAGTGTAATTTTTTCTTCAGCTTTCTAATATACAACTCAGGTTACTTCAAAACAATTCTGCAAAACTAAAAGTGATCGAATTGTTGAGACTTATAAAACAAGGCTATCCACAATCTTAACCTCGCCTGGTTAACTAGTTCACTAGTTGCTAGACGGTCCTAAGCCCGGATAAACAGGGAAGGTTGGGCATAGGGCGAGCAACCCTACCCCAGAAAACAAATCTAACCGCTAAACAAACTTTAAACCACAAACAAAATATAAAAAATAATAACAAAATTATTCCTAGCTGGAATCGGAGAGGCGAAATAACACCAGTTGGTGAAAGCCTCCCTTCGCGAAGCCAATTGGCCGTTGTGTCTTCTCTCCCTCGATGAAAGCGAAAGTAAACGTGGGGACATGGAATGTCCGCACGATGTTTGAACCCAGCAAGGCAGCCCAGATTGCAAACGAGATGAAGAGGTATCACACTGAAGCGCTTGGGATTTGCGAAAGCAGATGGAATGGGAGTGGACAATCTTACAAATATCAGGTCATTCTTTGGTCCAAAATATGATGAAATACGTTTGAAGCCATCATCATCATCATTATCAACATAGGACCAGGCATTACTGCGTAACGGTCCGAGTTGCCACACCTCATATCAGCACATCAAGTAAAAAGGTAGTGAGGTGAAGGATGAAGATAAGTGAATGCAGTCAAAAGAAATATAAAGTACGAGAAGAAAGGAAAGAGGAGTGACAAAATAGTGAGATTCGGTATAGCGTTGTTAAGATGAGGATAATGTGTGTATACATCTGCGCCACTGACTTCGGTTCTGAGCCATATCACCTAGGGTCTCCAACCACTGGTTCCTCTTGTCCCGTGGACCCCAACCACCTAGTCTGCATCGTCCTACATGGCTTAAACCAACAGTCAGAGACTTCATACATTGGTGCCATGTTTTAGTCTGGCCACCTCGGGCCTTTTTCCAGCCTGAACCCACCTCAGCCAACATTGTGTGACGAGGCAATCGGTGACTAGGCATACGTAGTACGTGTCCCAACCATCTCAGTCGATGAAGGTTCACAACCTCGTCGACTGACTTACCTCTTCTCCCTAAAACTCTACACCTAACTTCTGCATTACTCACATGGTGACACCACGGAATACGTCCTATACTACGAAGGCAACGGTGGTCAAATACCTGTAACCTTCTCATGTCTTCCACTTTCAATGGCCATGTTTCACAGCCATACAGTAGAACAGAGCGGACTGCTGTGCAGTACACGCGACCCTTAATAGACAAACGAATATCACGGCGGCGCCATAGGTGGCGCAAATTGGCAAAAGCCAATCGAGCCTTTTGTATCCGTGCAGAAATCTCATCGGCAACTAACCCACCGGAGTTGATCCTACTTCCCAGGTAAGTGAAGTGGTCAACACACTCAACCACTTCACTCTCTATTGTTAACCGCGGTACCGCTGAAGACCAGTCCTGGAGCAAAAATTTGCATTTGGGTGGTGAAAATCGCATCCCAAACATTCTCAAATTCCCACTCAAAGTGTTCAGAAGACTCTGCATCTTGTCAGCGTCTTCACCTAACAGGACTATGTCATCTGCATATTCTAGATCTAAGGAAAATTCACCTGTGATCCGGTCAACGTCTTTGTAATTAGGTGACGAGAGGGAAACCTCCATAAGAATATCTATGATAAAATTAAATAAGAATGGGGATAGTGGGCATCCTTGACGGACACCACTTGATGAGTATAGCTCCCTGGACAACTCACCATAGGCTCTAACATGCCCACAAGTGTTCGAGTAGAGAGCTTTCAATAAGGTGATGTACTTACTAGGCACGCCTTTCAGTGACAGACACTGCCATAAGACTTCTCGATCAACGGAGTCAAATGCCGCCTTCAGGTCGAGAAATACAGCTATTGTCGGGCGTCTGTAAGCATGCCTATGTTCCAGGACCTGGCGCAGTGTGAATATTTGGTCGATACATCCACGGCCAGGTCTAAAGCCTGCCTGGTTTTCTCGGGCTTGCTGTTCCCGAGCTCCACTCAGGCGTCGGAGAATTATAGAACTTAGGATCTTAGACACTATGTTTGTCAGGCTGATTCCTCTGTGGTTATCACAAGAGGACTTCTCGCCTTTCTTGAAGACTGGGATGATCAGTGACTTAGACCAGTCGGAGGGGATCGTATTTGATTCCCATATACTGGCTAACACTTCCGTTAGCCTGACTAAGAGAACTCTACCACCATTCTTGTATACCTCAGCAGGTAGTCCGTCTGGTCCTGCTGCCCTTCCCCGTTTCAGGCTACCTACCGCTTTCTCAACTTCTTCTAGTGTTGGGGGGCCTGTCTCTATGTCCCATTCAGGGTCCGACTGGATAGCGGGCAGCGCAATGGTGGCTGGAGGCCAGTTAAACTGTTCCTCAAAGTGTTCTGCCCATCGTCCCAGTCGCCTCCCCTGCGAGTGAATCGCAGATCCGTCCTTCTCCGCTATAACCTCACTAACTGTTGTTGACCATTTCCCCCCAGTCTCCTTAATAAGTCTAAATAACTGTCTACTGTTACCGATCGCCGCTGCCTTTTCCATCTCTTTAGCCTTTGCTGCCCACCACTGTTCACGATCGTTGCGCAGACTTTTCGTCAGTCTATTTTTAAGTTGCGCTCGCTCTTCATTGTACTCAGAGCCTGCAGGGATGCATTCACGTGCATCCATTAGTTTGGAAGAAGCTGCTGATATCCACTGGCTCTTTTTAGCCATTATCTTGGAGTCGGCTACAGTCTCCAGTGCTGCTTTTACAGTAGACTGAAGATGGCACCAAGCTTCTTCTGGATGAGTGACAGTCTTTTGTTCCGATAACTGCCTAGCCAACTTCTCACTGAACACGGCTTTGGTGTTTTCGTTGTCCAGCAGAACTCGTAGTGGTTTTGTTGCCAAATTTTTTCTACGTCCATTGAGACGCAGGCATATACGTGCTCGGACCAACGCATGATCGCTGTCCAAACACGTACTCCAGAAGGAGCGGCAGTCTTCCACCGATCCTCTCCAGCGATGACTAATAGCAATGTGGTCTATCTGTGTCCATCGCTGAGTCGAGCTCGGTGGACGCCAGGTCAGACAGTGCCTTTCTTTATGTCTGAAATTTGTGCTGGCTAAAAATAGGCGGTTATCTGAGCATAGTTGTAATAGGCGATCACCGTTATCTGTACGTTCAGCTGGGATTCCGAAAGTGCCACCTAAGTGCCTTTCTGCCTCACTCAGTCTACCCACCTGTGCGTTGAGGTCACCTGCAACAACCACTACGTCCGAACGTTTGGCTTTCGAGAGGAGGTTAGACAGTTTATGGTAGAACTCGTCCTTCACTTCATCCGAACTACAGTCAGTGGGTGCGTAAGCAGAGATTACAAAGAGACAACGGCGAGTCTCACTATTCCTTTTAGTTCTCACTGTGCCGTTCAGCCTCATAGCGCAGAGGCGACTATCAACTGGGATCCAGTCTAGTAGTGAGTTTTCTGCCCTGGTGCTTAATGCTATACCTACACCTGCAAGACCACGAGAGCTAGCTATCGAATCTCCAGAAACTCGAAGGGTGAATTTTGCAGATTCACCAGATTGGTCAGGAGAGGTCAGGTGAATAACCACACTTGGGTCCTGTATGCGTGTCTCACAAACACAGCACACATCCATGCCTCGAGTTGCTAGAGTCTTTGCCAACGAAGCCTGTTGGCCAATTTGACGGAGGGTGCGGACATTGAAGGCTCCAATATGTAATTTGGAGCGTGGTTTAAGGAGACCAGGGACGCTGTTCTGTGGACTCAGATCGTTGTCGAAGGCTGCAGAGGTAGGAGAAATTGAAGATGATGCAGCATCATTAATTAAGAGACGTGAAGGAAGATTAGAAGGTAATGATGGAGGAGGAGGATAGCAGTCAGAAGAAACTTGGGTGCTGACAGAGTTGTGAGGGCGGTTGACACTTCCCGGCTGCCCACACCGTGGAAGGCTATTTCTTCTTAAGGTACCTGAAAGAGATTTGTGTGACCGCAGAGCCCATCGGACATCTGCTTGAGGCCTGTCACACCCAGCCTTTTGAGTATGATTATTTTGAATTTTTGTATTTTTGGGGCCGGATGAGCGAAAGGAAACGACAAGTGAACCAACACCGCCGGCCCGGCAGACCGTGGGGCGTGGTGGAGTGTGTTATTTTTGGGGCCGACCTTTTCTAACCCCCCCTTCCACTGAGAAGGCAGCATCAGCTTGGCACTGCTGGTCATCCAAGGGAAACACCTTACTGCTGTCACACCCCATCCAGCTAGCAGCAGTACGACTTCGCCCTCAGACCCCCATCATAGT